ACAATAAAGATACAACAGCACTGCTACCAGTTAAAGTAAGATAGTAGTACCAGAAATTTTTACCATGGAGTACATATCAATAGGTGTAGATATGAAGTATTGTGAATGCCATATGATGTTAAAACTGATACAGTTTCATTTTAGAGAGAAGTAGAAAAAACATTTAGAGCAGCGGCAACCTTTTCGGATTCTTGAAGCACATTCGCAAATTAAAAAGGGTTCGCGAGCCAGACAATACAAAAAATCAACATGATATTCAATAAAATTTCCTAGTTTTGGAATTTAATGCGGTCCGTATAAAAGTGACGCGTGGATCGAATCATAGTAGTCTGAAATCCAATCTAGGTAGAAAAAATTATTTTATCTCAATAATCAAACTAAAACAAGTCCAAGATACTGGAAAAAATATTTAAAAAAAATAAATGTTTATTTACACCCGTTGAATGGTAATATATTAATTTTTTAATCTAAAAGTTAACTTTTTCGTAATATATGATATTATATACAATTTTATTTAAACGTCGTAATTTTCTTCATCTGTGAAATTATTATTGAAATTTAATAATGATTTCACTTCATTATCTAACTAATTTTTTTTTTTTTTTTTGGTATATTACGTACCGAGGAAATGTATGGGTCGGATGAAACAAGTAAATGATGGAGAACATCTTTATTTTGCACTACTCTGCTTATTTTTCGTTAATGATGTTCTCGATATTTTTTATAATCATTGTTTCTAGCCTCCTGTACTTCCTCGGAAAGTTGACCTTAAAAAAATATTTAATAATTTCAAATAGATTTTAGAAATTTATATTTTTTATTTACCTATAGGAAGTAACGACGATATAGTTCCAAAGCATTTAATTAAATTGAAGTCGACTTGTTGTTCTTTTCCCTAATTTATATAAATATATATATATATATATGTATACGATGTAATAAAATATATTTGTACATAGTGTAGTATGTGTAGTATAATCTCTGAAGAAAAATATTTGTTTGTTAATGTTTTAATTTTATTCCGCTTTGATGTTTCACAATTATTTTTATAGTTTATTTTGAGTCTTCCTATAATTTTTTTTTATCCTAATATTGGTAATTTTAGTTTACATTTAAACCACTTACTATTAGCCTGGTTAAATCTTATATGATTCTGTGAACTCTTAGATCAAAGTCTTTGCAAAACAAATGTAAACTTTAAAATCATTTATTCAACTAATTTTGTGTATTGTGGCTCCCATTGTTCAGTTTCGTAACAAGCATTCAAAATGTCAAGTAGGTATCTTCTTGATTTCATGGAGTGAGGGTTCAATAGACTTCTATTTTTAATAACATATATAAATCATCGTAAGAATAATAACGAAAATTAGAATTATTAATAATCAAGTTTTTATCAATATCTGAGTTAATTATATCGACATTTCTACTGGGACTAGAAAAAAAAAAAAAAAAAAAAAATTAAAAATACAGACGCAAATGGACGCAAACCAAATTTTCAGATCGAATAAAGTAGAATGTTTAGGTATTATAGTATATATATATATATATATATATTAGTTAACGATTATTTTTGGTTATTTTTTAATTATTCAATTTGAAATATAAGTATTACCTTTTTTTTTTACTATTTTTTCAGCTATATTTTATACCTAACATCGTAAAAACATATATTATAGTTATTGAACATTTACCTTGGTTTTCAAAATCCATTTCCCATTCAAAAATAAGTAAAAATATAAAATATAACTAATTAATATGAGTGGAATGAACGACAATACTCGAATAAGTATAATCGATAAAGTATAACAACAGGTATGAAAATAATTTTCATTATCTAATCGACCTGGTCGCCTAACACACTTAATATTAACTGAGGTACTATATTTATGTTATGTAGGATTTACATTTTGGGGTTTTTTAATAAAATATTAATATCAATGTACTTTAAAAATGTACTTTTTCCACCTAAATTGGATTTCAGACCACTTGTGTGGATGCGGCCCGCCAGTTGCCAACCGCTGCTTTAAAGGTTGTTCATTTACAGAAAATGTTTTGGATGATAATAGTAACTGGGAGGACATCACTTGAACATTTTATTAATTTAAAAGAAGTTCTCATTCATTGTAGGAAGGCAGGATTCAAATTAAATTAAAATAAATGCGTTTTCTTTCAAAATAAATCTCAGCAGTAGCGTAGCCAAGAGGGATTTAACGTCCCTCCCCCCTTATGGGTCGTGTTTATGTGTAAGTACTAAACTAGTATACTACTATTTATTATTTAAATATTTTAAAATGTTGTTACTAACTAAATGTTGATGAATAACTGGGGGTTTCGGGTTTTTCATTGGTAAATACATAAGCGTATTACTTCTACCGAGATTACCAACTACCATCTTTTGGTAATTCTCGTCAATGTTATGGTCACTCTTGTCTAACACTTTATATTTTGTAATTATTATAGTTTTATACCATGTTATGTCGTAACGATGCTACCTCAGCTAACCACCGTTTATTTTTTTATTATTACTAATTATATTTTCATAAATATTAAAACAATTTTAAAATGCTAGAAATACATTTTAAAATTTGGTGGTAGGGTGGGCCATGGGTATTCAAAAGAATTGAATGTTATGGTTATTGCAGATAGCAAAGCTGTTCGCAAAATATTTTGGATTCAAGCTCTTTTCATCTACATTTCTTGTTTATGCTTATGGTATGTATTTGGATATTCTTACACATTAATTTGAAAGTTTTCGATAAGGAATTTAATTTAATTGGTAATAAAGAAAGATAACTTTTTACATTCCTTAAGAGTTTTAAAATCATTTGAAAATTTTATAAAAAAATCCTGCTAAAATATATCTTATGGATTTTGATTGATTTGTTTTAATTAAAAAAATCAGACTAGGAATTATGGTTGAAAAATAAATGTCAGAGCAACCCTGTTATTTACCCATACAAAAAATAAACATAAAATAAAAATGTTGAAATAATTTAAATATTATAGCTGTATTTATATTTTATAATCAAAGTCATTATCTATTGTATTATCCAGGTAAGAATAGTTGTTTTTTCATAAAAAATTTTAATTTGATAAATATATCAAAATATTAAAACTTTAAACAAAAATTAGTTAAATAAAGGTTTATATTATGAATTATATGAATATAAAGTATGTATAATTTAGTTTTTAAGCATAAAAATTATTATTTACTAGCTGACCCGACAAACGTTGTTTTGTCATATAAATTATTTATAGAGAATATTTTGCTAGAAAAAAATAACTAATTAAATATAGGCATGTAAGAATGTGGGTAAGGATAAGGATGTAAGGAAGAGATATGGAGTGCTATGAATGGTGACGAAATATAAAAATGAAAAAACATCAAACATTTATTTTTTTAATAATTTATTAAAATTGATCCATTAAAATTATGTATATCGCTAATTATGACAATATTAGTAAGAAACAATATCTATCCCTTAATGCAACAGAGTGTACAAAATTTTTTGTTATCCCATCTTTCGCCAACACAAACTGGATGGTTCGAGAGCACACCACGTATAATTATCCGTGTGAAAAATATGATGTGCTCAAATCGAAGCTACAGACATCGTTTGGCTTTGAAACTTATTGATAGTCATTGCAAATGCCAATCTAATTGTAAATTTGAGACGTTTAAATTGTATTGGCACATCTATGGGTATAATAGAGATTCGCGGTAATAATAAATTTTCACCTCGGAATTTGCCATTTAAAATTATGGCTTCGATATCATTTTTCATTAATTTTTTAACGACTTATCGCGTGCTGCTGTACAATCGTGGTAGGTCAAATTATGAAACAATATAACCGGAGAACAAACCTTCAATTGTAAATTATGCGATGGCATGCCTGGTAAGTCCAATGAGTTTAAAAACTCTGTTATATAATTTACAGCTTCAGTAGCATAGCAAACTATATCTATAGATTTGTATGACACCATGTCTCCTGGTAACAAATGTTTATCTTGAGATTCAATTCGTTGACGTCCACATTTTTTACTACTGAAATTGCCCTTTCTGCCAGACACTCATGATTTGTGTATTGTCTGTGTACATTGAAAAATATCTAGTCAATGAGAGCATCTTGCGAATAAATGATTGTGCAGAAATCGGTCGGTAATTTTATACATTCCGTTTCATCTGTAGTAATTTTCCCATCTCAAATATCTAAAAATTGTTTTGAGAATCTTCTGCATGCAGCTCTCTATCTTTACATACATTTCGACCATGAATTGTTGACGAAGTTCATGATATCGTAGAATAACGTTGTCCTGGTCGCGTCTAATCATCAACCAATATGCATAATAATCCTTCGAACTAACATTCTTGTTTGTTTTAGCACCTGTTGCGGGATCTTGTTGTTTAATATTTGTGCAATACCCATCATTCACTACCAAAAATAAAATTAATAGTTTTTAAATAGTTTTTTAATAGTTTTATTTAATAATTCATTTTCAATTGTGCAGTTATCGACCGGGTCAAAAATTATTAAATTAAACTATGATTTATTAAACAATAGCACTTTTCCAAAAAAAATTTTCGTGAAAACCTTCTCCTGGCAATTACGAACAATTAAAAAAAAATTTGAGCTAAATCGGCCCAGCCGTTCTCAATTGATGAAATGTTATACATTTTTGGCACCATTTATATATATATATATATATATAGATAACTAATAACTAATTATTTATTAACTTTATCGGACTAAATTTACGCCTAAAACCTTCTCTGTGATGTCTTCTTTAATTTAAAAAAAAATGCACGACGATCCAATAAGTAGTTTCAGAGTTTATCCCGAACAAAAAAAAGCGACTTCATTTTATATAGTAGGTATATATATATTTAATTTAATGGAGTATAGTTCATACTTAAGTTTTTTTAATCATGAAAAAAAAAATCATTCAAATATTTATTCAATAAGTAATAATTAATTTTAATTTTCAATTAAAATAAAAATGCTTTACATAATATTATAAATTCATTCCTTTTATAAAGGAAATGGAAGTATTATAGCATATAGTCCATGAAATATGGTATTCCATTATTAGCCAAACGTTTGGTTAAAACTTCAACTCCGGTATCAGTAACTAATAATGTTTGTTCAAATTGTGCTGATAAGAGCCCATCTACAGTCACAGCCGTCCAATTATCTGGCCAACACTTATCACGCCAACTACCTGCAATCATATAGTAAAAATATATATCATATTAGAGTGATAAAAAAATACACTTAAGTGGTTACGATTGTAATTTAAAATAAATATAATCTATAAAAAATATTTAACCATGCAAATTTTTGCATTGTTTTTAAATATTACAAACTAGCTAGATTACTATTTATGTATAAGGTTTACTGGGCTTGAATATCCAGAAGATAGTTAATTTTATAATTCTTAGCGTTGTAAAATTATTCATACTCTGCAGATTTATTTTTTTTAATTGGACTATAATAGTAATTACTTCAAGTAATATTTCATGATTATTAATTAATTAATTAATTATTATACAAAAATATATTGTAAAGCCAATAGTTATAAGATGTAATAAATATAACAATTTTAACCCTGGAACATTTTTTGACATACATAAATCAAACGAGATAAAATTTTAATGTTAAGATAAGGAATTTTTTTTATTAATAAGTTTATGTTTATAATTTGTTAAAAAATAAATATTTTGAAAAAGAACAAATTATTATACTTGTATATTAACTAGTTTATAAAAGCCGCGATTCCACTGTTGTTAGTGACAGTCATTAATTATCATCAAAATTCGAGATCAATTATTACCGCTTTCGTAGTTGTGCTAAAACTGTATATATACGGACCAACAACGTCGCTCACCAGGCAAGTATCAAAATGAGTTTGTTGCATTTAATCGTTCGCTCAATGTAAATATTAACGTCGATAATGGCGTCGTAAAAAAGAAAAATATTAAACCTTTTTCCTCCGGCCGCAAATGCTTCCAAGAAATCTAAAGTTTCAGGTAATAATTCCACTGACTCATTACTTCGAACCTGAGATGACACCATGAATTGGGAAAATCCAGGTGTTAATATAATACCACTTAATGTACATTTCGCCATAGAAATTACCACCTCGTTTCCCTGTTCCTCTAAATCGGAATTATTGTATGTGATTTTTCTGGACCATTTCACGTCTTTGTTGACTCTTCCTATAAAACTAACATCGGTTATATTCATTCAGTCAAATTTGGGTAAATCTTCACCAAACACATTAATTTAAGTCTCGGAGTCATACGCCTTGACACATGTATCTCGGAAGAAGACTTCTGGCCTTGAATGTCAATTTGAAATCATTGAATTCCGGCTTATTAATACCAAACGTAATGACAAATATATAGCGAACAAACTTGTCGAACTTAAATTGTTGTCCCCCAAGCTTCCAGAATCTATTATCATACACAGAGTCATCCATTTTGTATCTTTCAACATCTGATCTCCAGTCCAGTGCCGTCGATCTTTTAGATTCGACCACACCCAAAAATGTTGGCGTAGCAAACAACACTGTGACCAAGGATCCGACGCATGTAAAGTACTATTAACAACTCTTCCAAGCTACATCCATTGCAATTTAGACCACGTATCTTCAAACCGTTCATGCAGCGAATGGATCAACCAAAGGATGATCAAAAAAATCATAGCAGTCAAAAACAAGTCATAAGAAACAATCCTCATCAAAAAATTTTGGTATTGTTAATAAAATTAACAAATGTTGTTAAAATTACACAAAAATATCAAATAACTTCAACAACCGTAATAAAAATATTGCCAATAATTGTTCACATGTACAAGAGTTAGTGTTTCTTTTTTTTTCCAACGGTCATCGACTTCATAATTTCCTCCCAACCAAAAATATTAACATATAGCCAAAAAAAGAAATCCATCTGTTTGCAACTTTTCGAAAAAATCCAATTTCCTGTTTTACCACTTCACAGCGTTACATCTTTTAACTCCAACAGTTGTGCACTAAACAAACTTTCATAAAATAACTACAAAAATATTTCAGATACCACTTGGATATCAATAGTGTAAAAAGTCTTAGGGTCCGCTCTTCCGATCTTTTTGCTCTACTCCACAAACATAGATGTTCTTTCGCTCTCTTATTCGAGAACTAATTGTCCCCTAGTAGGAATGTATTTCCAACCCACTTTCATCTCGTTCATTTCGATCAACCCGAAGGGTATGGTATGGGGACCTTTGCCTCCCATCACTCCATCAATAACTAATAAATACTCATCGACCCGCAATTAGTAGACTCTGTCTCAAAATTAGATTGACTTAGTTGGCATTGAAGTTTTCAGTGACTCTCAAAACCCACTCAAACTCTGGTCTATTTATATCCCTCCGTACTTCCACACTTCATTAATCATATCTTCAATATTTTCACGATGAACTCAATTGTAGGTGGTCACCACCCAGCTTGAGATTTTTCTCACCATGATCATCATGGTGATATCCTACACACTGCAATCTCCTACCACAACCATCGCCTAATTAACAAAAGCACCCTTACTCGTCTGAACTGGGCTCCGTACCCGGAATCATCGTTGACATCACCTTTACTTCCCATAACCTGCACTTTTTTGTAAATTGATCTACATTGGATAACCCTAGAGAAAGCGATCGTTTTCTTATCCTCATCGATCTCTTTGGGCTCACTCCCACATCTACCCGTCATCCAAGTAATACGAGTCAGGATTCTACTTTAATTTGCATAAGGCTGATTGGCTATTCTTTGCATCTCACCTTAATTCCTTATACAACAAGTTTTACTTTTCTCATTCACAATAAACAATTAATCAACTTTCATCTCTACCATCCTCGAAGCCACTAGCATCACCATTCCTCTTCAAGACTTCATTCAAGTCTTCCAAAAAATATTCATCAACTTTCACAAATTGGTGAAACCCTTTATGCGCCATACTATGCTATGCTTCCATAGCCGTAGTTAGTCGTCCCAATTATTGTTGGAAGCCTTTAGAAAGTATAGATCTTCTAGATAAATGATTGAATTTCTTTTTTATCAAAGAATATGAGCGGCGACTGGCGCATCTTCAAAAATGTTAAACGCCATTCATGGTAAACATTCTGTTCAACCTTCAACGGCTCATACTTCCTAAAAGATCTATGGACAGTCTCAACAAAATTCAAAAGATGCGTTTCTCGAACTTCTTCTTCAAAAAACGAAAACGTTTTTTTCCCTCTTTTTTTACGACAAGGTGGCACATCCTTACGCCCAGAGCCGTATAAACACATAGGCACTATAGGCGCTGTGCCTAGGGCCTACGAAAATGTGTGGCTACGATTTTTTTGTAATATGTAAATTGGTATAAAAATTTAGATTAGTTATCATATAAAAGTTTTGATTTGATTTTTATGTTGTAAATATTATTGCTCTTAAAAGATTATTAATGCATGATTCTTCACTTCCTCTCTCAAAGAGAAGGTTTTTTAATTATTTATGTACTGGACAACGGTCCGGCAAGGACTAGGGGCCTAGGGCCTACGATAGTATTAATCCGGGCCAGCTTGCGCCCTTTCATTGCAAAAATTCAATCCTCCATCTCTACCAGTTCATCTTTACATCCTAGTATCTCATTCTCTCACTTCCCTCTTCACCAGGGCCGTATTTAGGAATTTGACACCCGGGGGCAAAAATAAAAAACGCTTGATTATACCAAATACAAATTTCTAAGGGTTAAAAATGATCTTTCTGAAGGCTGGTGTACACAAAAAAATTCTAAGTGCAATGTCAACATAGGGATAGATTGTTTGTAAATCTTCGGATTTATCAACAGTAATCGACCGTTACCGATTATGTGTGTATGTGAGTGTCGTGACGCCGTGATTGGCGATATATATACTTTTTGAGATACATTTTTTATTTTGTAAAGAAATTTCACTTCAAGTTTTCACTTCATTAAATATTGAAAATATAAAAAATTAGCCACCCTCTCATATTTAGCCGCTCGGTTAACAGCATCCTGTAGCACCCTCCTAAATACGGCCCTGCTCTACATAAAATAGAGTTAAAATAGAGTTAAGAATGGCCATGTCTACCCATTCTTCTTCAGCCACTGGTTTGGATCTCATCTCTATCACAATGCGTAAACATATCTCAGATAAAGGAATCGATATCTTACTTACCATTTATAACTCCTTATGTCTTGATGGTATAATCCCTGAATCATGGCTCCACTTTCCCGTCATTTCCATTCAAAAACCCAATTCCACTCCTACTGTATACCCGTTCTATAGCCTTGTCCTCCACTCTATGTAAGTTTGTAGAAAATATCCTAAAAAACCACCTTAACTGGTACCTTGAATAAAACAATTTCATAGCTGACAATCTCTTTGGATTTTTGGCCAGCTTTTCTTCCTTTGTAGGAAAAATATATCAATTATATTATGAAAATGAATTCCTCGCTTTAGCTTTTATCGACATTAAAGGGGCATTTGATTCAGTTCATATACCAACCCTCGTTTTCCGTCTTTCAAATGTATCCATACCGCACTCATTCTGCAATTATATCTCATATTACTCCTCTCACCGATTTCTGACCTTTTTCTCCCCCTCTGGCTCCACAAATTCGCGCAAAGTTTTCAGAGGACTTCCTCAAAGATAGCTGCATCATCCCCATACTATTTAATGTAAATATGAATTAAATCAACCAATATATCTCTTTCAAGGGTTTTAGCTCCTACATCTATACCGACGACATTGTCCTTTTCACATCCGACAAATAACTTGATTGAGCAATCTCGACACTAAATTAAGATATCTTCATACTTTCTTCATCCATTCTTATTTGACATTTTTTTAATAAATACCGAAAAAAACCAGTACATAATTTTTACTCACAACAGATATTTAACAACCACAAATGTTTTTATTGATAATCAACCTATTTACTTAGCCAACTCCGTAAAATACCTAGGTTTACAAATGTTAATAAATGAAACATACTTATATTAATATATTTAACATCTGTGAAACTCACTGGGGTCTAAATAGAGATAATATCATGGTAAACTTTAGAATAATCCACAGTGGAAATGACAAGTGTGGTAGAAACGGAGTGGTAGTTCAAGGAAAATGGAAAAACAACATAATGAATACATACCACCTTAACGACAGAATACTTATGATTAAAATCCACGCACAACATACGGACATCTTCATAATTCAGGTATACTTTCTAACAACAACAGCGAAAGTTGAAATTTATGAAATGTACGAACAAATTGAAGACCTCATGAAGTTAACTGATGATAAAGCGAACGTGATAATTATGGGAGTTTTAAACGCCTCTGTCGGAGAGTAGGATAGCTTATCAAACTGTCTAGGAAAATTCGCTCTTAGAAAACAAAACGAAAGGAGTGTCAGACTCGTACAGTTTTGTGAACTTGAACTGAAAATCTCTAATTTTTTTCCGAATGCCTAAACGATGAAGTTACACTAGGAAAGCACCAGGAGATATTAGAAGGGTTCCAATTAATTTTATACGAGTTAAACAGAAATACAGAAAAGTTATATCCAGTCACTCTTATCTAGGCTGTGATATAGACAGTGACCATAATTTAGTACTAACAAAGTGCAATAGCACTTTCAAGAAACAGGCCAAGCGATTTGTCAAAAAGTGTTGTCTAGATAAGCTGAAGAGTAACACTACAGTTGATATCTTCAAAAGAGAACTCGAAAACAAAGAGGCAATATCTTAGGAAGAGCTAAAATCAGTTATTTGAGAAACCTCTGATAGGGTGCTTGGGAAAAATACCCTTGAACTAAGAAAACTCTAGATGTTGCAAGATATACTAGAGTTCATCAAGGAAAGAAACATGTGGCGAAAGATAGAATATGACAAATACAAGCTTTTAAAAAATAGAATAATACAAAAGTTCAGACAAGCGAAGGAAAAATGGTTGGAAGAGTACAATGAAGATATTGAAATGATGATGAAAATAAATAATAATGGAGTATATACTAAGGTTAAAGAATTGCAATATACTCTAAAAACTAGAAGCAATATTTTTAAAAACAAAGCAGGCAAAATTTAGTTCGATAATGATGAGGTTGCAAACAAATGGAAAAAATACCTCGAAGATCTATACATAGGAGAAGATATTAACAATAAACAATAAGAATACTATAGAGAACGAACAAAATTTAAATCTAGCTATGAAAGGTCCAGAAATGACTAAGGATGAGTTTAACCGAGCACTTAGAGATTTGAACGAAAAAAATTAACTAGATTGGATGATATACCTTCAGAAATACTGAAAAACCTAGACGAAAAAAACAGGTTAAGTCTTATTTAAAACTATAAAGAATTTCTATGAAGTAGGCTCAATTCCGGAAGATTTTATAAAAAGTTAAACTATCACCCTACCTAAGAAATGGAATGCTACCGATTACACAAACTACAGAACTATAGCTATTTTATCTCACTTGTCAAAGATAGTTCTGAACATTATAAAGAACAGTTTGAAACACAAAGTGAAAGAAAGACTTGACAATGACCAGCTTCGTTTTAGGAAGAGTAAAGGAATGAGAGAAGTTTTCATAGCTTTGAGACACCTACTGGAAAGGAGAGTTGACGTGAACAAAGCAACGTTTATAGCATTCATAGACCTGGAAAAGGCATTCGACAAGATAGACTTAAAATTCCTATTTAACACTCTAAAGGAAACCGTAATTGATTGAAAAGATAGGTGTTTAATATTGAACTTGTACAAAGGTCAAACTACTATATTAGATGTTAATGGAATCAAGAAAGAAGCGAAAATTCGTCAAAAGTAAGGCAAGGTTGCCCTTCATTTCCATATTTGTTTAATTTGTTTATTGAACAGGCAATACATGAAATGAAAGACTCATCTTCTGATGACTTTTCCTCTGGAGTGGTCACTCCAGAGGAATATCAATAAATGGAAAACAGTTTTACTCCATACACTTTGAAGATGATATAGCTCTCCTAGTTGACAACGAGGAAGAATTGAGTTTGATGCTTCATATACTTGACTTGTCACTAGATAAGTTTAAACTAAAATTAACTACGAAAAACAAAAGTTATGGTTATAAATTATAACAAATACAAACATAACGCTTAACAATATACAATTACAACAAGTGAAGGAATTTTGCTACTTAGATAGCTTAATAAGAGATAATAAATCTACAAAAGAAAGAAGAAGGCAAATTACATTAGCAAAACAAGCATTCGAAAAAATGGACACTTTTTACTTAAAAACATTTATATTAAAAATATTTATATTATATTTATATTAAGTATAAGTTCAAGAAAGAAATTCATAAAAGCATACATTTGGAGTATATTATTATATGGATGTGAATCATGGACGATAAGAATATATAAAAAAGGTAGATTAGAGTCTATGGAGATGTGGATGTGAAGGAAAATGATTAGAAAAAGCTGGACAGAACATAAGACGAATGGAATAGTGCTGAACGAGATCAATGAAAAAAGAACAGTGATAAATACAGTATTGAAAAGAACAATAGAGCTAATTGGACATCTACTAAGACACAATGTCTTCGTGATTATCATTATGGAAGGAAAAATAGAGGGTAGAAGATCCAGAGGAAGACCGTGTAAGTCCTTCTTTGAAGAAATCTTCCGACGAATGGGTTGTTGGCATATGAAAAACATGATTGGCTACAACAACAAGGCTTGGACTTTAGAAGCTCATGATGACGACATTTCAATTTCAAAGTTTGATAGGTCCTTCATATTTGATACTTAATTGGACTAATTTCTCAATGAGCAAACTCCCTTCAATACTTCACAGATACATGATGGGGGAACCTACCCATCGGCACTGATCCTTATTTTTAATTTAGTCATTAAAGCAAAAACCGACTATGGTTCCTTCCTGTTCTCATCCACTTTCCTCTGCCACAAAAAAAAAAAAAAAAAAAAAAATTAACTCATCAATTCCATCTTAAACTCTTGCTAACGTACCATAATGGGGGCCATTCAATCAAATCCACCTGCAAGTATGGAGGTGGAATGCTCATGCCCTCCTATCGAGCTTCGTAGAAGACGATTCACAGGTAAATTTATTTTTAAACTTATGTCCACTCCCAATTCTACACTATTTTTAGATTTTTCAAGAATTGAAAAATCCTGGAAATATGTATAATCTCCTCGGTTACACTCCGAAAACCCTAGCTTCACTTCCTAATATTCTTGCTAACTCACTTTTCTTGGATTTCATTTCTTTTAATTTTCCAAACTCAATCCTTGTATTCATTGACGGATCAGCATCTATCCTATCTTCAGGATTTTTCTTTTTCATACATTTTATTTATATTCCGTTCTATTCCAACCTCCATTCATTGGCTTTTTCATTTATTGTCGAAGCCAACACCATCATTCACGCCCTTCAAATTATTATTTCTATAAATTCTCAAAAATTTATAATTGTTTCCGATTCTCTATCATTCCTATTTTTTCTTCAATAACTTCAGTTATTCTATTTCTTCACTTATTCTCATGATAAAATCTCTAACACATCAACTTCTCTTATCTTGTAAAGCTGTCAAATTCTTTTGGGTTTCATGTTACATTAGTATCCTAGGTAACGAAAAAGCTGATTGGTTAGCCACCTAACCAAAAACCAAATTGTTCCTTCTTTATTAAAAATATCCAAGTCTGATTTCCTTCCCATTTTTCACAATACTCTAAAAAAAAGCATGGGCTGACCTTTGATCATCTCTTACCCTAACTTCACTACCTGGCACAGATTAATATATCCACTTGAATAATCAACTTCCCTTGGTTTCGTGATCTGAACCTACCCAATCCACAATTATCGCTTTTCCTTGTTTTCGCTTTGGGCATTATGCTTAAGATTATCTTTTCCCTTATCATTAAATTTTCTTTTGACTTAATTTCTCTTCTCTTTTCACTCTTTACAACCATGAAGCCTTATGTGATCTTCATCACATTCTTTTCTCTTGACCGTCTCTTACTTATTTTTGCAATTCATTGCTATCACAACTCTCTTCCTGAGGTTACACCTTCCCTGATGTAATTCTTCTCCTTAATTCTTGATCTTCCTCTGTCTTCACACTCATCATTAATTTCATCTCCAGCACTAGTTTTCACGCTTAAAATATTGTATTTACTATTAATTGTAATATAATTATTTATTTGTTATTAATTATTATTATTTTTCTCTATGCATCTTAAATACTTAATAATCGTCATACTATAATGTTGTAAAGATAAAAGCAATAAAAAAAAAAAAACAACTCTATAATTTTACCTTGTGATATCATGGGCTCAATTGTAAATGTATGTCCAGGTTTCATTACACCAACAGCTTTGTTTTCTATTACACACAAAAATAAAAAGTTAATTTCATTTTAAGATAAAAAATTAATTTAGTGTTTAAAATTATGTAAGTAAGTTTTATTTAAAACAAAACTTACTAGCATAATGTGGAACTCCAGGAGAAGTATGAAACAGTTGATGAATACCATGACCACAATAGCTTCTTACAACCGAAAATCCATTGGCTTGAGCATGCTTTTGAATAATATTCCCAAGTTCTCGATATTTTTCACCGGGTTGAACTAAATGAAAATTATTAATAAATTTAAAAATATTAAACGATGGATAATAATATAATATAAGAACATTACCTGCATTTATTGCCTTTTCTAAACATTCCCATGTAACACTTACTAATTTTTCAGCATTTATACATACACTGCCAATTAAAAATGTTTCATTTAAATCACCATGATATCCTCGATGACATACAGTTACATCAACTGTAAAGTAGGTAACATATTGTAAATTTAAAAAAATCGACCAAATTATTTAAAAATATTAGAACATTTGGTTTTTCAAACCATTGCAAATATCTCCATCAATCAAAGCTCTTGAATCAGGTATTCCATGGCATATAACTTCATTAATAGAAGTACAACATGATTTTGGATATTTATAATAATTTAATGGAGATGGATAACATTCTCTTTCAATGCATGCTTCATGTACAATTCTATCAATTTCATCTGTTGTCACTCCAACACCAATCATTGATGCAACTTCATCCAACACTTCACGACCAAGCTTTTATAGAAAAAATATATTTTAAATAAATACATCAGAACTGTTCTATTTGTTAATAATAATTAATAACAATATTATTCTAACTAGATTAATTTTTTACAGAAACAACATATAGGAACTTATTAAAATTTATAAATGTGATTTTAAATAACAAGTTAATTATGAAAATATAATAATATAATAAAGTGCCGATTTTATATCGTTTATAAATATTTTATGCTAATACCTTACAAGCGACTCTCATGTGTTCTTGTTCTTCTTCATTTAATACTTTTATGTGTGATGATAACTTAACTGATTGTTCACTTAAAGGTATTCCCTCAGGATGATCTGCATAATCAGGCCTTTGAATATGGTCAGGAACAGTACGTGCAGGAGATATTTTATGAGGTCTCAATTGTCCTAAAAACAATTTTATATGATTATTAAACTATAAAAATAAAAAAATGTAAAATTTTATAAATTAAAATTAGACTAATAAAATATTTTGAATGGGTGATTTATTCAGTAACCCATTTAATAATTTTGAATTTCTTAAATTTATAATTTCAGTTTCCAAGGATTTAATAACTTTCAATATTTTCATAGAATAATTTGGTTTTAGAATATTCATATAATATATTTTACCTGTATATACATAATCCGGCCATGGATTATATGGTTCATAACCATTAGAAGATGAATTTGAATTTTCTGTAAAAAAATGTTTAAATAATAATAGTTCATTAATTTTTAGAATTTTTTTTTTAACATTATGTATTATTTTTGCTATCAATGTAGCCAATATTTGAATACTACTAAAATTTAGAAGATATAGCTAAAACTCTCTTTAAATAAAATGTCTTTAATTCTATTAAAGACATTTAATTAATTAATTTAATTAATAAATTCTATTATTTAATTGTTATTTTATAGTTAAATATTACATAATAATTGATCAAATAATATTTTGATTTGCTTAATAACAAATTTCAAACTTTTAAAAAAAAATCATCAAAAATTTATTCATGTAAAATTTTTTGATAATTTTTGTAATTTTTAAATTAATTGAATAAGAATAATAAAATAATTATTGAATAATTGTTTTATTGGATTTAAATGAACATTTTGGTGAAAATAATATTATTAGAAATTAATTTTATTAATATTCTTCAGTAACTGATCTATAAACAATAACAATATATTTGTTATCAAATTAAATTATTAATAATTATTAAACAAGTAATTTATTGTAGAACAATGTAACTTATCTTAAGTTATATTCAGTGGCAAATATAATTCAATCATTTAGATGTATTAAGGACCTAGGCTATAACTATTCTTTATTAACCTTAGATATTATACAAGTATTGTTAAAGATAAAATCATTTTCATTAAAACATAAAATAACTTTTAATATTGACATTAAAAAAAAAAAAAAATCACATACTTACGACCAACTTTATGAAGAACCTTATGAATAGACCAATTTCCTTTAAAACATTCCTAGAAAATAAAACAATTTATATTATTAAAAAAATTTATTTTGGTTAAAAAAGAAATTTCCTTTTTAGGAAATGAGAAATATGAAGAAATTTCAATATATATGTAAATTCATTATAGTTATTGTGATTATTCCCTATTTTAATATTTTTAGGATTAAATGTTTATTCCAAAAAATTAATCATTTCATATTAATTAATTAAATTTTATAGTAATATTAAAAAATTAATTGAGCAAAAATCTTAAGAAATTCCAAAGAAACTGATGTCATAACTTTTTTTTGGATATTATCAGTTTGAACTTAATTTTTATTGTTTTTATCATGGTTACAAGTTATAGAACTATGTTATTATTTTTTTGTACAGAGTAAAGTTATTGTAATTTCATACCAAGAGAGATTTACTTAAGAAATAGAATAAATGTATATCATAACCTAAGGTATTTTCATATTGGTATAGCAATGGAAAAATTCAAAAAAATTTGTGATGATTACATGGAAAAGTAACTAACATGTTTTATTAAATATAATGTTTTTAATTAGTTATTGATACGTATCTTAATTTTAAAAAACTCTTCTTTATTAGTATAAAATACCTATGAACTATTTAACCAAATAACTAATATTTCAATTTTAGGGTAGTAATTAATTGCTGTAATATTACACATAATTAAAAATAATTAACGGTAATGATATACTTGTTGATAAATACATTGGATAGTCAATTTACTGCAGGTTTATAATATTATGATAGACAATTTAAAGAAGGGATTACAATTTTCTTCAGGAGTACTGATCAAACTTAAAACAATACAAGTAGCATCAGCTTTTTAACTAAGTACATGACATCAGCCGACGTCTTAGGTATATATGTAAAGTGAATTGTAATACTTAACTAAGAAAATGGTAAGCTTAAAGGTAAATTTTGTACACATGGGATTTGAAAAACTTTTGAAGTCTTAAAAATCATAATTTTTAGTGATTCAGACAATTGACGTAATATAAATGCTATGTCAGTCAGTAATGTGTTACAATTCATTTAAAGTCTAAACAGATTCAGGGCCATAGGATAACAAGACATATGTCATCAACACCACTGCGATAAAGGCGGAATTACCTGAGAGCAGAAATAGGAACCAGGAATGCCGAGTTTGATGCACGTGGGACACTGCAAGTTGGCTGGCGAGTTGCAGCCGGCCGTCTCGCAAGTACGGTTCGCTATTGATTTGGACATCGTACGTGTTCGAATGATTCAATTTGTGACAAGAAATCTAGTTTTACACGGTCGACCAAAACGGTTACGACAGGACAAAAGACACCAGTGCGGGTACAGTATTCGCCCGTCCACCGAATGCTCGGAACACAGCTTTGTTTCGATATGGGCAGCGGCGAAATATGATATTCGTTATCAGCTTGAATAAATCAGCTGCCGCGCGGCCGTTATCAATTCCACAACGATAACGGCGCCCTACTGATAACGTTGTCGTGTTATTTGCCCTAAGATAACTATGGATGCGACACGGCTAGTCGTGAGACCGGTATCATACCGAAACATTTTTACACAAAACGAAACGATGATTTATGAACCCAACTTGATCGTGATGTTCATAATATTTCGAGCGGAGCGAGAAAAAATTAATGTTTGCACCATGAATTAAGATATCTCAGTTCACTGTTTGTACGGTAATTATTCGCTAGATACGATAGTTTTTATAAATGTAGATAATAAAATAGGTTGGCAAACTTGAATCAGGCACCTGTGTGTTAATTACTGTTCATCTACCTTCTAACACAGTCCATGATAAGAACATTTTCCCTCGTCTGTTTTCTTCAAGTCTTGTCTCGTCAATAACATTACGTTAGACACCCGAGGACGTTGTCGAGCGCCTAAGAACTTTCGTTCCGCACTCGTCCGTCGTCCGCCATTCGTGCACCACCATGAATATCCTGCCGAGATTTGCGAGGAACATCAAATCCGGGTTGTTCAACTTGACCAAGAAGAGGTACACCACTCCGAGCGCGACTCCAGCTAACCCTCCGTCGCCGTCGATACCACCGTCGCCGTCGATACCACCTTCGTTCGAATCAAGTAAGACTATTTTGCTCTTCTAACGCCCATGTTATCGGTCATTTAAGAGCCATTATTAGTGGCAAGTAGCCAAATGGTATATGAATTATTTCTGATTATTTGTAAGTATACTCTGCAGTTTACACCTTGGTTTGCACTCAATGTTGGTAAATAATTTTTAGAAACCTACGAAATATTAAGTTCTATGAACGTAGTACATTTGTGATTTATTTTAACATTTTGTGACCACTTTCCACATTTATTTCTTTAATTGTATTTTAAAACTAAATCTTTTTATAAATTTCGTTTTTATTATGTATTAAGTTACACTGTCTTTTCACTGTTTTTTTTATTTTTAATTATCATTGTATTATGTTAAGTGTATCTACCTATACGTGTAATCTTATATCTCACCTTGTTATTAAACTGTATTTGGTTTTAAATTTAATATTTTATACCAATATATGTTGTTTAAATCGACCATTAGGATTATTTAAAATATGTTTAATCTATAATGCGTTCTGGAATTTGTAAGGACTTCAAATTCTATAGTTGAGTGATTTTATAGGTACTTTGATCATAACAAAGTCCCGTTAAACCAATATCATGTATATGGCTTCTTAAAAACAATTAAAACTGGGTGTGTTATATGAATGTTACTATTTTAATATTCCTCTAAAGTTAACGATCTAATTTTGTATAATTTCACTCTATAATCAAATAAAAACATTTAGTTCTCAAAAGATTTAATGTTAATAGTGTTAATACAAACCGACATGTTGATTAGTTTTCTCGAAAGACAAGTTGATTTAATTGCTTATTAATGAGTAATCGTGTTTATTTTATCTTTTGTTTTTATTTTGTATTTCTTTTTAATTATAATTTAACAACATTTAAAACACCAGCGTGAAGGCACTAAGCTAAAACTGTTAAAACTTATTACATTGTATGGATAAACAACAGAAAAATGCTAAATAAAATTGTTACCCTATTCTTCTTAGATTTTATTTATTAAGATTATTATAATTCTTGTTTTTACGATGTAATTTGTTTATTAGCGCAAAAATTAGCTTCCCAATTTAAACGTAAAAATACTACTTTTAATTTAGTTTTCAAGGTTCCCGTTTTTAGGCTTTTGTATTTTTTGATATTGAATACGATGTTTCAATCAATATTTGTTTGTGGGACTTCCAATTGACTTGCTATAAAATTAATAAATGTTCGCCAGCTCAAATTTCTAGAATCTCTTCCTAGCTACCCTTCAACATTCCGAGAAGAGAAAAAAGAGAAAATAACTCGCCAGGACACACTACTTTCATATTTCTTGATTAGATGTATGAATGGGTTAGTTGTTATATCCAAGGTCCAAAGTTTGATGTTAGAGATTTTACTGTTAAAATGTTTTATATACTATGGATAAATATAGAGATTTTTCTAATGCATTAAATTTGTTTTTGGGTATCACTGGGTATTGGGTATTACATTGAGCAAGAAATATTTATACATATATATATATATTATAAACTATTAAAGGCTTATTATATTCTTGTTTAATAGTTGTTCAATAGTTACATAATTTTTAAATACGAGTAGTAATCACGACCTTAAGAGGATGCCACACCCGCATTTGTTGTCTCCATCTGACATACGTATAGCATAGCAAATTTGCTTTCAGTCATTTAAATGTAGTGATGTTTCCTTTAATATTAGAGTAAACTAACCTATAATAAGGGAAGAGCATTATCTGTGTTTTGTTGGTCAGTTTTTTTTTTCGATATTTTAATTTTTATCGAATTATGAGGTTTTTTAATAATTAAAAATTATTGTAATATTTTACATACTCATAACACGCTTAAAAATTAAAATATCGGGAAAAACCAATTAACAAAGTCCAGATAATGTTCTTCCTTTAAAGTTTGATTATAGGCCAGTTTACTCTAATATTAAAGCTAACATAACTACATTTGAACTACTAAATTCAAATTTACTATGAAGTACGTATGTTAGATGGGGACAATGTATGCAGGTGTGCCGTCCTCTTAAAGCTTTTTTTCACACGAAGCTATCAAAACTACGCCACCAGAAAAGAATCGCCACTATTTATGTTTCCAGAAGCACCTCTGTGTTTCGATGTAGATTATGTTAAAATTACCGTACATTTAACTAAAAAATTTAAAAAAAAATATTAAGTTTTGGGTACATCCATTACTGTTTGACCGTTCTGTTAAGGGTTTGTTCAATTTATTTTAATATGATTTAAGTAATTCGTATGAGGAATTATAGAACAACTTCAAGAGATTCACCAAATAAATATGAGAAAATTTATTTCACCTCTTTAAAAATTGGTCGTAACTTTGAAGTTACATGCCTTTTTATATCACGATTTAAATATTAGCCACAAGTAGAGTTCCATAATGCCGACCAATTTTCAATTTCTATACATTTTTTAAATCAAAATGATTATCCATGTTAAAAAATATTGACAACGTCAACACACACTATTGGCAGTGAGTCAAATGAACAGAATGTGCGTTTTTTATATTACAATAATATGTATTTAAATGGTCCCTTTACTATTTTGGTTGCGTGTTCTATACGTCTGATCACTCAAACTCATAATTGACTTGATGACGCTACCATGTGAAAACCCTAATTTAATTATTAATATCTTGTGGTGAAATGACCATGGTAGTGCTGCTCTGGTGACTTCGTGTGAAAGAGGCCAAATCTGTCATTTTATTTTTCACTTTCCCGTGTTTAGGCCCTAACATTGGAGTTAATTACGATCATCTAATTATATCACTGTCTTTAATGTATAATTAAGATAAACAATATTTATAAAAAAATAAATAACTAAAATTAGTGTGAATGATGAAATTAGTATATGAAAAATATATTTTTTTCTCTTGGAACTTCGATAATGAATAATCTTATATGTTAAAAATGAGACTGGGAAGTCGCAATTAACATGTTAAATTAAATTAAAAATAAATAAATATATATCCTATATTTGGTAGTTATAAATGTAATTCTTTTTTGGAAATAGTAATTAAAAAGGTTTACATCAATATCTAAGAGCTGTGTAAAATCTTAAAAAAATATTGTTTTATAATATTTTCTATATTTTATGTTTACGTATTTTAATAAAAATAAAAACATAAAAAAACTCATCAGAATAATATTACGGATAATGATATTGTACTTAAATTGAATTTGAATTATATAAAACAGTAGTTGTGTTTAATAATTGAGTTGGACAAGTATTGTTTTTTGATGTCGAGACGAATCGAGCCGAGTTTCAATTATTTCAAGTGTCGAACAAATATCGAGTACTCAGAAAAAAAAGTAGAGCAGTTGAAAAACTTTGAACACTCGAGAAAAAAGTCGTAGTTACCTTGTCTGTATAAAATATCGTTATCATGATAAAATATTAAAGTAATAACAATCTATTGTTATTAACTTAAACTATCAACCTTCCTGATATTTTCTATTGGAAGCATTTGGATTCCAGTTAGGCTTATAGTTTAAACATTTATTTTTCAATAAAGTAGTGAAATAAACTCGAGTATTCGATTCAATTTGAGTAAAATAAATTATTCCGTATTTAAAAGTACAAGTATTTTTTTGTTGAGTCGAGTCGAGTACTGGAACTTGATTCAAAAAGTTTTAGAAAGTCGAATACTTGCTAATTTTAAAGATATGTATTCTGATGATAACATTTGATATAAAATATACTTATACAGTATAGATACTTTGTGTATAAAGGTGGCAAATGTGGTTATGGATTTACCTAAGTATTTAAATTTAAATTTTATAATTTAGGTAATAATATTTCACTAACCAAGATGCAAAAGTACATGTGTGTTTGGGCTAAACGATATCCATCATTTAATGAGGTTCCGGAACTGGTCACGTATGTATTATTACATTTTATTTTTATTGTAATTAATTAGTTAAATGGATTTTATTTGATATTCTTTTTATGTGAATTAGTCGTTCGTAAGGGGATAAGTGATAATTTGTTAAGGACCCTTTAACGTATATTGTACAGGCAATTGTGTGTAGTGTTTGCGTGATACTTATGTGAGAATAAACTAATTTATATGAAAAGCAAATTATTATTATTAGTATCAGTAATAACATTCTAAACATTGGTTTGTGATGATTGCTAGTTTTGTGAGCAATTAATTTATGCTGTAAAATTTTTAATTTTTATGCCAATGTTAGATTAATGTAATTGTATAATAATAATTCTGAAAAAAGATTAGAATTCATTTTGAAATTCACAATAGTTTTTTTAATATTTTTATTTGGAAAATAGTAAATTTTTTTTAATGACTAGAAATCTAATGTCTTAAAAGCTTAGGATATACAAACTTAAAAAAATTAGTGCATTTAATAAAATTAAATTTTACAATACATTTTAATATTTTTTTTAAATATTGATAATTTCATTACAATATATGTTTTTATAAACATAGTTTATTTTAAGAAAAAAACTGAGAATTACATCAAAGCTCTTTTACACTGTTCTTTGGTTTTCTTGATATATTAATTAATTTAATAATAATTGAATATAATTGGAAATTCAATAATTTAATAACCTATGATTATTTATAATTGAAATTATTAACCCATGATAAGGTCAAAGTAATTTTTTGCCCTCAATATTAGTAATATAACTAATGTCATCATTTATGGTGACTAAAGTCGTTAATACCATTAAAAACACATCAGTGATTAAGTTCTTTTAGTCTGGATGCAACATAATTCTTTCCTTTTTTTGCTTTGTAATTTTGTTTGCATCTCTTTTTTACAAAATTACATTGAAACTTAATTTAATTAAAATAGTATACACATTGAAAAATACTAAAATTATGAATTGAACCACACCTCCTTAATTTCTGTATTTGCTTGTACAAATATAATATATATTTATATTTTCCATTTAATTGAAAACATTTTTTTTTTTTTTTGTAGTCCTGAAGTATGGAGTAAAGTTCGATCTATTATACGAATCAAAGCTGCCAACTATACAATGGTCCTAATTCTTTTGGGCTGTGTTGGAATGATTGTATCAGGTAAACGAGCTCGTGAACGTGGTGAAACGATTATGCAAAGAAATTTAGAATGGCATCAAAAGTATACTGAAGGTAAAGACGACGTAAAAAACATTGGTGTGTTTGGAAAATAGAATTGATTTTATAGGAATATCTAAAGTAAGATATTTAAAATAATAAACATCATCAATCATTTGTATGTATCTTTTAACATGATTTTGAGTCTCTATTTTATAATTATTAGTTATTTTACAAGTAAATTGTATAGATTATTTAAAAATGTTATTTTATTCGAACTATAAAATTATTGTGTTTATAAATATCTATTTTATAAGATTATAATAAAGATAAACCAATAGTCTTATATAACTAATATTTTTTTTTTTTATAAATTAAGAATTTAATAATTAATATTATTTTATTTACTGTTGAACAATAACAATCAATATATACAATTAAATGTTATTACGATTTCAAATGATGAGAAATGAGTCATTGATATTAACTAATGTTAGCACTGTATTATTGAAATATACTCGTATATTTCATAGTTTTTTTAATGTCTTTATTAACGTGCGTTTTATAATTGTACAGTTGTATAAGATATTCTTCAAAGATTTTCTAATTTTTTATAAATGACGGAATCAATGGCACCCAACTAAAATTAAGTTGAGGGGAAAGGCAAAAATTATTTCTTGCTACCCACCACCTATTACACCATAGAAACATATATACTATATAAATAGTTTTTTTGGATACCCATCAACCCCCATTCACAAAAAAAGAGGGGCGATTGCCTCTCTTAGATTATGATTTTGTGCTACTGGAAGAAATCGATGTTACTAAAAATCATTAGATTGTCTATTCTATTTGTTAGATTATTATCTATCAGACAAATACTCGTAGTAAAAACGAAAAAAACGTATATAAAGAAGGTTAGTCTCAATTTAATGCTGATCAGTGTTTTTATTGATACCGAATGTATTATATTTAAAATATATTTTTGTAAAATATGTAATTATTTTATTTTTTTAAATTAAAGAATACATATTATTAATACCCATTTAACAGAGATAAAAATAACTGTGTATCTTTTGTTGAAAATAACAAAATAAATAATTTGATCGAAAATAATTATTAATTATTTTGGTTGATAATATAGTAAAATTTCCCTTACTGCACACTTTCAAATAACTGACGTTTTTTCTGGAACGGGAACATTTTCATTATTTTTCTGTAGAAAATCCTTTAAGTACGGAATACTTTAAATAACGGACATTTTTATCACATTTGAATTTTTGAAATTGATCATTTTTATTGACAATTAAGAATAATTATGGCATATATTAAGAGGATATGGCACCGACAATTTTCAGAAGTAAAAACATGTTACGCAAAAATACAAAACGGCCTTTTAACATAATTTTGGACTTAAAACACCTATTACATAAATTGTTGAACCCAACATTTAGGAAGGAATCTCATAAACATTTTTTAAAAATATTAAGTACACAATATAGTATATAATATTAAGTCTTTATTATTAGGTAATATTATTTAGTATAATGTATCTTATCCCTCCAGTCGTTAAAATATTATTGTGTCGATGATATGTTATGACTATTGCGTTGTCGCATTAGTATTTAGTTGAGTTTGTAATGCCAATATGAACATTCTTTTTCATAAATGTTAATTTTTTAGATATAAGTATATAATTTATGCAAAAATAAAATTATCTTAATTTAATTTATAACTAAATTTTAATAAAAATCAGATTACTCCCTCTAAATATTGGACATTTCTGAATGGCGAAAAAGATCGTAGTATCGTAATTTATGGTATTTAGAGGTTTCACTGTATTAATATTATTAAAAATTATGCAGTTTGGTCTGTAGTTAATTGTCTGGTAACTCAGTTGTTTCTTTAAACATATGTATTATAAATTATTTATATTAAAAACAGATCAAACGTTCTTAGTTAAAGAAATAGTTATGATACATTTTAATATTAGATTACATGAAGTTTAAATTTTTAGAACAAGAAACAAAAATTCTAATCAACCAACACTCTATACATGTAAATACTCAGTACCCACTTATAAAAAAAAAAAAAAAATTGGTCACTGCGCTCGCATAGTATATAATTACATAATTTTAGTATATTAATGTATGCTAATTGTTGTACCTAAAAATTGACCATCGAGAATCGATCAATTACTTCCCTGCTAGATTTGCGCTCCTGCACATACCCATATTTACTATTAATATTCATATATTTTAAAGATGTTGATGATTAATTCCATGTAGTTTTATTTCATAATATTATATTCTTTAATTGTAATTATTTCTAAAACTTAAAAAAGCGTTTGTCCGTACAACAGTAATAAATAAAAATAAAAATAATGTTACATAAAATAATTAAATTTAGTAAAATTAATTTTATCCCAATTTCATTTAAAAATATACTCCTGACGTAATCATTCTTTGTAAAGTCAATAATCTTACGGCCAAATCAAATTATTTTTAATGGCCATTTAATCGGAACAATTTAATTTGTTTTTTTATATTTCGTAACTCTATATAATTGTCTACATATATTATGTATATAATTGCCATTAAAATCGGAATAAAATATATTCGATAAAACTTGACGTTTAAAACGAAACAAATTTTATTCAAATGTATTTCTTCGTATGTGATACCTATAATATACTCTACCACGCACGAGGAGATTCAAAAACACATTCTTCAGCTTATTCAAGTGCCGTAAAATGAAAGATACGTTTAGCACCATTTTAAAAATATCTTGTTACGGAATAAATACAGATATATATAATCCATAGTATGTTATATTATTATGCTATAAAATACAATCGTAAATAGTTGTATGCGCGTGATTGAGTATGCTGGTTAAGACTATTCGATAGATAAAGCGATCGAGGGGGATGAGTAAGGTTGTTTTGGTGTATAAGATAATTTAGTTTTCACTCTTCTAATTCTATGATCTGTGCAAGTCTTTAAAAGCCTGCGGTTTATGTGGTATGATTGTAAACTTAGCGGACGTTGTGTAAAATAAAACGATAAATGCGTATCGGATGAGGGGTGGAGGGGCAGCAAAAAGATAAAAGTAAAGAAGCCCAAATAAATAAACCGGGTCGGTAATAAACATCTGATAAAATCGAAAGGGAAAAATAACCATATAGTGATGAAAACGTGCTGAGCAATATCCGAACGGAAATCGCCGTTCCCTCTGCAGCAGTAACAACGATCGTCACCGCACTTGAATCCATTTCGAAAACATAAATAATAATAATATTATCGTCTGGGGACACGAAAATATTAAATCATTTTCATTATTTGCGTAATCTTTTAGCGTTCCGTAGTTGTAGCTAAGGCGGCGAGTGCGGTTTAAGTTTTATGTTCATCATAATTGAAAATGGTACGATTTAATTGTTTATTGATGAATGAAAGGCGTGTCGCATATTGTATTATCGTGTGTGTACTACAAATGTCATCGACCCGTTATCGCGTGTATTATAAAATTAAAACAAAAACGAAAAATATACTTTAAAACAAATATTGTAGTCGTATTATATAATGGTTATCAACAAGTTTCCGAACAAAATTGATGTATATAGGGTGGTTTCACCATGGATTTTTTCGTTTTTCCGTATAACTGAGCAAACACTGAACAACGAAAAAAAAATTTCACTTGCTCTGATACTGTTTTATGTAAATCACGTTTACAATCACAGAGTTAAAATTCGAGGAGGTCGATTCAAAATTGAAAATAGTAAAATTAATTGTTTTTCTTAATAACCAGACTTTGGAAAAATAATTTTAGAAAAAACACATATGTGATAAATATGATTTTTTTTTTACGAACAGATAGATGTGGAATGATAATATTAGAAGTTGAATAATAGATTTTAATTCATCTACTTGGGATCGATTTTCATTTATTTTTGATTTCATCCTTCTAAACTTGAAAACTGTTTAAACTGTTTTTTTTTTTTTTTATTAAATTATCGTATTAGATCAGTGGTCTTCAACATTTTTATGCAAGGGGCCACATATTATTATTTTTAAGCCTTGCGGTTCGCAATCGTAGTAAAAACATGTATTTTATATAAAAATTCAGTTTTATTCTTACATTTATTAAAATTAGGTGGGTATATTTAAAATTACAAATCATTATTATTATTAAAACATAAATAGATAAATATATTTTTTTTAATTACAATTTTTTTATTTTATTTTTTATGTGAAAACATTTAAAATGTAATCGTGGGCAACATGTTATGACAGGGTGGTACGCAAGCGGCCCGTGGGCCACGGGTTGAAGATCCCTGTATGAGATTGTTATAAAATGTTAAGGGAAAATAGAAGAAAAATGTTTGAAAGCCGGTATCGTGTATAGATTTGATAAAGAGTTCGACATTTTTTTCAAATACTCATCGCATCACTACAGAGTTTGATCGGTATTTTGAATTTTTCTACTGTGTTGTGTGCGTGGTAGACAAACATATATAAACAAGTGCTTTTAATCCACTTAAACTAGTTACACATGTAATGTGTCGTGTAAACTTAAACAGGTTTATAAACACGGTACACAATATAATACGAAATCCATGTCCCTCCTTCCTTGTAATTTATTGTGTACTCTCGTTGTTTGACTGAATTTCGTTTATCTTTTATCTATCCATTTTGTCTTCGATATACGTTTATGGTTATTTCCTCGAAATTACCTATGTACGTTATCTACAGGCACTTATACCAGATGTCCGTAATAGCTATTTTGACAAAGTGTTTATATTTTCGATCGATGACTTTGTTGTAGTGCTTGTTGACACATTTACATGCAAAATACAATTTTGCAAAGCAGATAAAAAAACCTCTCTATAGCTTATTTGATCTTAAAAAATACCGACCAACACCGCGTGCCGTTAATATGTTGTTTTTGACTTCTGCACGTTTGATATTGCTGACTATTTTTTCCCTCGATATTTCCGTTTAGAAATACACATAAAACTCAATATTTAACGTTACCTATTTGTTTCCAATTCGTCGAGGTGAATTTTATTTGTGTTTTCTTCAGTTTTTTTAATACATCTGTTTATTAATAAGTTGTTACTAATATCGTTAGTCTACGTCGGTTGATGTAAGCGGAGCGTATTTAAAAAAAGGTAAATCGCTTATTGTCAAGTCTTCGGGTAAACCATCGAAACATTTTCCTTGTCCAGTGAGTATATCATTTATTTTAATGATGGTTTCAAATGCCTTATTTTTTTCAATAACTTTCTTGAATTTTTCATGGACTAAAATTCGGATTTCACAAAATATATTGTCTAATTTATTTTAAAAATTTTTAATTAATCCAATAGCTTCAACTATTGGAAGTCCTTGATTTTCTAATTTTAAAATCGCGTTCAACAAAAATCCGTAGTTAATAATTTTCTTTTATCTAGAATTTCTAGGTTTAATAAGTACACTTTTCCTGGTTGGTCGGTTTGAAGTGTTCCTACCACAACGTTAGCCACATATGTTCCATTAACATCTGTGGTATTATCAATTGAGACCTACATTTTATTTCCCTTTACATTGTCTCTTATTTTATTTAAAGTATTGGAGCACACTTCATTTACGTAATTTTTGTGTAACGTAGATTCATTCGGAATGTCTCTATTCGTATGTTTTCAAAAAAAAAAACGGAATTCTGGGTTATTGATTTTATGCAACAGAATATTGGCGGATAACATGGCCTGACACAAGTCTTTAGAAAACGATTTTTTTGTAAATGTTGTTACCTGAAATTGTGATATAGACGTTTGGTGGTATTTTGTCGATTAACCGCCCGTTGATGCTTTGCAGTTTCAATATGGTGTGTAACTGTATATCTCCGTTCAGCATTTACTTTTTTTCTCATAATTTACAGAAAAGTACGGACTCATCACATAAAACACATTCTCACCAAATTCTAATACGTATTGTTTTTAAAACGGTGGGAATTGTTGGCTTAATTTTCAGCATATTTACAGAACAATAACAGAACACGATAATTCAAAATTTACGATGTGACTGAAGAACGGATTAAAACTATTAAACTCAAACAGTCACATTTCACAAATTATTTTTGTATTGTATTGAATACCAAGTATCTTGATATTATCGAAATAAAGATAAGATACCATTATTACTAAATACTATACTACTTATTTAATTTTGTAGGTGGAGATATTAAAGTATAATTTTATCTAAACGATTTTCGAGTTTCAACTATAGCTAAAATAGTTCTATAAATTAGTAAATTCAACAAAATGGTACTAAAATTGAAAAAATTCCAAAAATTGCAAAAAATTGCACTTAAAACTTTTATGTTTGAATTCGTATTTACATGAAACGTATTTAAAATTTACTTAGCAATACATCGAAAAGGTAGAAGAAAAGTTGCAAATGCAACAATATCCGTGCCCTACTAATAACCTTTACAAGTTATTGTAAAGTTATAAACAATATATAATAATTAAAATAAACGATATTATTATTCGATTTACTGATATGTTTTGATTAACTATTGTTTATACATACAATAGTGTAGTCAAGTATTGGATATATCTAACGATTTAAAGAAAAACAAATTTGCTTGATTGTTACCTTCATAATGTAATATATTGTTCTGGTTCCATATCTATGATACACGTCGAATTATAGATATCATTAATACTTAATAAACAGAAAAAAGCGTAATGATTTACAATTCAACAATCTTAAAATAGTTATTTTGTATTAATTATTTTAATTAAATTGTATACAATATGATGATATTAATGTATTATTATACATTGTTATATTATATTTTATTACATTTATACGAAACAAGTAAATTAACTTAATAAGTATTGAAAATGATACCAGATAGGTACCGGAAAGTGAATTGAATTATGTAAATAGTAAAGGACTTTGTTCTCGTGACAAATTTATAGACTTAGGGCAGAGAAAAAGAAAATGATAAATAAACATATTTTTTCAGCTTCACTTATTTCAGAGAGACATTTCATTTATTGATTTTTTTATTCGTACGTTTTTGTTATTAACATTTTAATGGTATAATATTTCTTTTTCTGCTCAACGTGATGGGTATTATAGTCGTTTGTGGTATTCTCGGTGTTCATTGTTAAGTATTTATATAGTTTTATCACAGAATAGATAAAATTAAATTACAAAATTATATATATTTAATCTATTCAGTGGTTTTATAATTTTTTTTCGATATACGTGTATTCGTTTGAATACTATTACACACTTAGTTTTGATTTGACACCAAATTAATTTATAGTAAAAACTTGTGAAACCTACTGTTGACTTATATTATTATTTTTTTTTCATATAAAATTAGACACAAGTTATCCTATAATTTATAGATTTCAATAGACGATATTTATAAAACATTTTTATTACAATGTTTATAAACAACGTTGACTTTAAGTTCATAAGAATATTGTTGATTACATACTATTTTAATTTAATACATTACTATAATTCACTTACAGGAGATAATTTCATGTTACAGTTTTTACAGAACAACAAGCTACGATAATTTTTTTAACTCCATTATATATATATACATTGAACGAGTGTTTTATTATGTCGCTTAAATGTTGAATATCATATTTTCATTCATAGATTTAATCATAACAAATTGATTTAATTTTTGTTTTTGGAATTCAATGATTTGCACATAGTTTTTTGCTATTTCATACCTCGATGCTGCATATTTACAGTCTTATTTCTACAAAATAATAAAACTGATACTTATATAATTTAATATATAAATAAATGAACAAATATTTTATGCATAGAAAAAAATAATTTTTAGCCTAGAGTACAATTGTATTTGTAAAGTACGACCGCTTTACATATGTAACAATACTCTAGTCTAATAATTTATTTATTTATTTCAATATTTATATATACTATTTGTTTATTTATTTATATATAAAATTACAAGTATTAACTATTTACTAATTTTACTTTTAGTTTAATTTTTTTATTATTATGTTATTTATATTATTTAACTCTTACGCGCATATATGTACGTTTTATTCGACGTCAAAATCGATTAGATTGTATTCCTTAAATATTAAAAATCATAAATATATATATGTATTATTATATAATTTTTTACTTTTAGCACATCGCACCATGTTCCTTAACTGGATATACCAATGAAAATAATAATAATAATAATAATAATAATAACAATAATAATTACATGTTATTACTACAACACAAATAATTAACAACAATCATTATACCAAATAGTTTATCAGCTTAACAATAATAATTACACATAGTCAACAAATTAATAAGAACACATTAACGTTTAAAAAGTCTAGCACTTACACCAGGATCGACAATTAAACATCAATATAATATATTTATATATATATATATATATATATATGTATATATTCACCAGCTTATCGGAACATTATAAGACTATTGACTTTCTATTTATATTTTATTGTTTTTTTATTTGTTTTATTAATATTCGGACAACTGTAACGTAGTCGGCTGGTTCTGTTTCCAATTATGAATATTATAATTACAATAGCTTAATGTTGACAATGAGTAATATGACCGCGGTTGTCGCCCAACTCTGCAGTCGTGGAGAATTACCTAGAATAAATACATAATATTATATAACTTAGTAGAAAAAAAAATTATCAGTACAATGATGTATGATAATTCGTCTGTTTCTTATGCGTGTTGTGTATAATAGAAAAAAAACCATCTACACTATGTAATCCTTACACAAATCTAACATGAGCTATTGGGAAGTACGTTTTTTTCTTTAATTTATTGTTGACTATAATTTTGAAGTTATAAACTTAAATGATAGTAATTATTTCAAAGACATTTAATATCGTTTAAGATTCTGAGCGAATTATTTCGTCTTTACTATGAAAATATACATTTTTACCAATTATAAAAATTAATTGATCTTCATAATAATGATTTTATTTTATCTGTTAACACAAAAGAATATAATATTTGTAATATTTGTAAGTAGTAGATCTGGGCTGAAAGTACTCGTATTATGTAGTATCACATGTAATCAATAAATGGAATACTACAAAAATAATATCAATAGGTAATGTTTATACAACTTTTGCATTTGTATTATTTTATAATAGACCATATAATTTTTTTACAATTCAAATTGTCTTAAAAGTTTTAGAAAAATATACATAATCGATAAGAACATAAAAATATTGAAAATTAAATTTTACAATCGATTGTCAAAAGCTATCCAAAATATGTTAAAATTTCTTTAATTTTATAAAACAAATCTACTTAGAAAATATTAAACATAAAAATATATTCAACGTAGCAGTCAGTTAAAGTAGTGTAATACTGAATCAATAGCATAAACAATGATATAATGCTGAGTATACTTGCACGACATAGAATTAAATTGCGGTCATTGATGCACCTAAATTGCCTATACAAAACGCCGTTCGTTGTTCTTGATAGTAACTACGGAAATTAAGCATGCATTTTTTTTTATCTCATTAGTTATCTCTTGGTAGCGTAATATACTTATATTATAATTATAAAAATAAATAGAAATTATAAAAGTATATTATAAAATTATTTTTCTTAATGAGTAACAAAAAAGTATTTATAGGTTTTTATAACAAATAAAAATTAATGACCATCAATTAGAAAAGAAATAATTGTTTTTTTTGCACTTTTCCGTAAAATATATTTAATTGTTCAAAACAAAAACGTCTGTTATTTCAGCTTAATCAAAACTCAATATGAAACATTTTCAATTATTATTACGAACAATAAGTTTGTTTCTCTATCGAATTCGAATATTTGCTAAAATATTATCGAAAACACTTGGAAAATCGTTCATCGAATATTTATCGTTCGATCAAACGGTGTTTTTGCTATTTTTTAGATGTGCATAAAAAAATTCGATCGATAGAATTTATTCCGATGATATCTGAGATCATTTAAATTTTATGTATAATTTTAGTAAACAATTTGATATTTGACCACTGGTTAATTGAATTCTTTTTAACAGTCGTTTTTTCAGAGAATAATTTTCGAAAAAAAAATTAATTTAATTTTTTACAACTTCGTGTTTATGATATTTTTTAATATGAAATAAATCTGAGCATTGTTGTAACTGAATTGCAATCATTGCTTGTTTTATCAACGACAAATAAGTCAAAGGAAATTTCAAATGTAATATCACTATGATAATTATTTGGGTCTATGATACGTGCATATGATTTATCTATCCATGTGTGTAATATTTTTAATGATTATTGGTTTCTCTTAGTATCAAAGTATATAAATAATTATCTTTTGAACAAGAATTAAAGAAGAAATCTTGAATGGAGAACTTAATTATTCGAAGAAAAAAAACACCTCGGGAAAAAATAATGGATGAACTTAAATTGACAGTTTGAACATTGTGATATTAAAGGTTTTTGATTATTTCATTACCATCAGATTATTAGGCATGCAAATTAAAACGTCAATATCGTTCAATAAAAAATTATTTTTCTATTGTAAAGTTTCCTAACAATTTTACTCTTAAACCGTGCATGTTATTAATGAAATAAAAGATCTGTTATGTTCTAAGATTAATACGAAATGTCGAATGTAATGAATATCTTCTCAACGCAAATCATCTTAGATAATAACGACGTACAATCACATTATGTGGTATCATCTGTAAATCACGTTATTTTCGATTTTAATAATAAAATACACACCAAACTATCGCGTGTGATATGATTGCAATTCCATTATAACTTATGGTACGATGTTGATGACTTAACACTTTTTTCTCTTTAAAATAGTTACAAATAATATTAAAACTAAAACAATGATTAATAATCTACAAATATAATGCCAAACAATGTAAAATACACAATTCATATATTCTGAATCATTGAATCATAAAATAATTTGTAGATGCTATACTTTAATGATTCAAAATAGGAACATAAATTGAATTTTACATTTTCGGGAATTATAGGTCATTTTTATTTAATTTAAGATAAAAATTAAACATTTTAAAATTGTTTAAACGTTTGTTTAATGATTATTGAGTGTTTTATTGTGACCATGTATATTCCAGTAAATAAGTTTTAATTGTCATCAACGTTCTCGATCAACGTAATTCTTGTAAATGAAACTAGTCAGTAGTGAACTGGTGACTCGGCAGCCACGTACTCAATTTTATACGATTTATGTATTTTAAACAAATCAAACGCGAAATCAATGGTGTTCGAATAGCTCATAAAGTTGTTATGAAAATCAATTAGGAAATAATATTTTTTTATGAACATTTATTGGTCATAATTTTCATTGTTTTAAGTTTTCATACCAATACGGAATTTTGTTCGAGTCATCAACATCGTGACTACTTATAACTATGCAAACTATAACTGTATAGCACGTGAAATCTGATGCTTTTAACACTTGTGCTGTGGAAGAAACTGTTTTCTAAACCGATTATGCAAGATTTTACCTGTGGAGTGCGGTGACAGGCTCGGGCCGATGACTTGCGCCAGTTTCGGTGGTGCGTTGTCGACGAGTTCGATTTCGGACCACGATTTGTACAGATCGAATTGGGAAATCTCACACCGGATTTTAATGCGGCCCGTAGGAAACAACAGTGGATTGACCATGGTCGTCAGACGGGATTTGGTAACCACTAGTTCGGCCATCCGATGTTCGACGAAGGTATGGATACGTACGGATTTCATGCGTTCGGCCTGGAGAACAAAATTGAAAACTCATTTTTTAGTAAAAACAGTTAATATAACCGTTGGCGTCGCACTATGAGTCGTTTGGTCATTGAATTCGGCGGTGAAAAATATAATTCCAACGAGAACCGTTACCGGAACAAGGATTTCGTTCTAAATTCGAATCGAAATGGTATACAAAGCGGCAAGTATTAGATGTTCGTATATGGTTTTATTGAAACAAGTATCAAAAAGCTTTCTACTCTTAGATCTTTTGTTGATTTTGCATAAAACCACACGCTCACGCCTTGGTACGTAATAACGTTTCAAAAACAATATATTTACCATAGGATATTTACACTAGGTATCCATATTCCAAATCAATGGGTTTCGTATTACTGCTTTAGAATAATGGATTTATCCACGAATAGATTTTGCTAGCAAATTCGTTGTACGAACGATCAAAATCTACGGATGTTAAACGGGTACCCGACGCTTTCATGCTGCGTTGATTGTTCACTACCTTATACGTTTCTACAGTATACTTTCATGTGCGATGAAGTTTCTTATTCGAAAATTGTCCCGCGCACAACACAAGGAGTAATAATATAATAATTGAGTTGTCGGTTTCAGATTCAATAAAGTAGGTATGTTATAAATTTGACGGTAAAATATACGACATGTATCGCGCACCATTTATACTACGTGCACGGTGCGTTATGCTAATGCACCAGTTTACACGGATCGTTACGAAAATAAGTTTTTTTTTTTTTGTATAGTAACGAAACGATTTTAATATTGTTTTACAAACCATAGTATCAGATTTGTTTTAAAAGTTGTGCCTTGAATATAATAAGTCGTAAACGTCATTATACTACGAACTATTTGGTGAGAATTTAAAAGCTATGGAATACATAGCGTATTACGGATGTTTTAACACACGAGAAATCTGACTGAAGTTTAGAAATGTTTTGTAACTATAGGCTTTTGCCTGGTACACTTTAAAAATTATTAGTGCAATATCTTCTAATAGTATTATTTTAGCAATTAAAACAATTAGTTAATTTTTAACCATCGTGAACTAGGTAAATAAATTACGTAAATATCTTTTAGTAGTATTATATAATCTCTTTGTAGGAAGCAATCTGGGATTTTTGATTATTATTTTTTTTAGTTAGTGGGCAGATAAAATAAAATATATTTTTAATTAAAAATAAGTTATTCATTTTTATAATGAATAAAAAATAAGAAATGTACGATTTATGATATAATAATGTGCATTGAAAATGTAGAAGAAAATTTAATGGATTTTTAAAAGTAAGACGAAGTAGACGAACGTATAGACCATATACTTTAAAAACATAGTAGACAAACAAGGAAATTTATTTGAACGGTTCAAAACAAAAAATTTTGACACCGAGTAAGGACTATATATATTCTGTATTAATACTATATATTATATTATGTAGGTCGATAACGGAAAAATAATTAAAAAATAAAAAGTTTATAAATGATACCTTTGCTTAGTATACTATTACATATTATATATCCCAATAATTTCAGTTAATAACATTCTTTTTTTTTTAATATTGACTAAAATTTAACATATTTACATGTGCTGTTAATAAGTTTGCAAATAGTTTATTCTAAATGGTATATAATACAAAAAAAAAAAAAAAAAACAAATGTAACCACAAGCCTACCTCACCATTCTTTTGAAATGTAAATCTATATCTTATAATTATATTTAATGCATGTCTATCGTTCACGAAGGGACTGGACATAAAGGTTTATTTAGATATTAATGAATTTTATTTTCGAACGACCGCGTTTACATAAATTTTATATTCATTACATCGAAAAACTTGAGAAATTTCTACTGGACAGTGCAGATGACCAACCTCGCATTGGACCATGTTTGGAATAATTTTTTTACGTATATAACTTGTGCTGGTGTGGAATGGAAATATAATATCAGCCGGGAAAATGATGCTCATCTAGGTCGATTAATGATTTATTTTTACGAATTTTTTTTTTTTTTTTTTTACATTAAACTCTGAGAATACGATTTTATCCCTTAGATATTATTAAATTTTACTGAATTATTTTAGGACACAATTTAATTTAATTTGAAGATTGCGGGGTTTTGTATTCAATGTCTGATGTCATCTTAGTAAATTTTATTGATATTTCATAAAAATATTATTGAAAGATAATAATAAAAAAATTCCTCTAAATCATGAACTATAGGAAAAATAGGTTAAACTTTAACCGTTAAAGTATTTTATACAATATTCAAATTATGGAACATTAAAAATGGATTCATTTTTTGTTAGAGAACTGTTAACCGTCGAAAAAAAATAATATTTTACGTAAACGATTAAAGGAATAAAATTGTAATCGATAAAACGGAAAATAAAATTTCACAAGCGAAAATCTGCGCCGTTATAGTTTTTGACACGGAAAGAAAAAAAAAAAACGTTTCACAAAACCAATGCGTTGTGAATATTTTAACGGCTGTCAACCTTCTCGGTAAATATTCAACACCGACGAAACCGTACGAACATGTATACAGGTGTACAGAGAACAAATTACCAGATTTCGGGAAATCAGTCCCGTCGACGGGGACTGCAATGCCTCCGGCCCGAAGAATGAGGTCGGTGCTCGGTACTCGTTGGTCGCCGGAGTAGAGTTCGTAGCCGTAGAACTATAACATTATAATCCGTTTGAAAATATTTCGAACAACCCGCCCCCGTGTCCTTCACGGCCACTCGTATACGCAGTCGACTTACGGGGGGACACGGTGGCGGATGGCGGGGGGGGGGCTCGCGTAGACAAGCGTTTAACGTGTGTAATGCGCGCGTGCGCGCCCGGTCGCTGTGGGTAACAGGTAGAAAGCATCGCTCCGGAACGGCGGACGAGCGTTTCGACGGATTTGATTTTCGTGTTCACCCTTACGGCGAGCGTCGGCGGATGGCGTACACGGTGCAGCGGATGATTGAAAAACATTTATTTTACTCGCGATTACAACGGTGCAGCGGGTGGCGTTCGGGAGGCAGGGGTTGGGGGCGACACGAGGGGAAGAGCCGACGCGGGACGTAACTGGATAATTGTATTTGTTCGGAAACACCGTTGTTTGCACGTTTAAACGTGCGGCGGCTAAATGGACGTGCGGACAGGGTGGTTTTCGCATCGCCACGGTCGAACACGGCAGCAACATTGTACGTTGTTCGCAACGTTCGCGATTCCGGCTTTCCCTCGTTCCCGCGGCCATGCAGACTTCGGGACTCACGACTCGCCGTTACGTGTCTCAGGCTCGGGGGTTCCGTCACGGAATCCCGTGATGCCGCCGCGTGCGGCGGAAGGGGAGGCACTCGTATATACTACCGGGCCTGCACTATAAAACCAATCGGCTGCGACGACCGTTCGTCGAGTTTTTTAAATTTTTATCGTTTTCCCCGGTGCATGTTTAGCGGGGGGATGTTCTATTTCGACCCTTTCCTACCTCGTCGCGTCGACGATACCATCCGCGTCCCATCGTCGTGCGTTAAAATACAATATTACGCGCTCAACAGTAATAACAATAGCGAAAATGTCTTTTGGACATAAATGATCTCAATGGCTCGTTACGTAGACGCTGAAAGAGAAAATATTGCGTGATGCGCACGCGCACTAATTTGAAATTTATTCGGACGAACATTTCTTTCGGACCAAGATTTTCTTTAGCGCGTATCATCAATCGACATCCGATCACGAGACAAAACAAACGTACGTTTAAAAAAAAAAATGACAACTCGGATGTACGTTGTATCGAAACATTGCCATTCGATTCGCGTATTAATCCAAAACTTGCTTTAAGTGGGAGGAAGTGTGTATACTATGGCTATATATAGGAAATATTGAATGGGCTACGTTTTTAGAAAAAAAATTTCGTTTAAAGTTGTAGAACAGAAGTTGTAATCACTTTTATCGTAGTGTTTCGGTTTTATATGTAAACGTTTTTGGTTTTCTTACACATTGACAATACTATATTTTTATTGAACTCTTTTCATTGCTGATGGGTTTAAATTTAAATTTTAGTTTTTAATTCTAACCTATTGAATGGTTATATGCAGGTTGAATTGTAGCTAATATTCAGGATTATTGAACAGTATGCTTATTTCAGTGTAAAATTAGTACAATATACATGTGCACAACTATACTTGAATTTCAAAGAAGTGATACTTGTATGGTTACTGGGCTGTATTATAACGGAACGTTTACATAATATGCTATTGCAATCAATACACGAGCTTACAACAAATAATTAGTGCTAATAATTAAAAACTACAGTGCACGTAATATATTGTGACTGAAGTGCCTCTTCCACTACAGTTTCACCAATGAACGCACAGCAGAGTCTATTGATCTCATTCGAGCAAAAATAAATGTTAAAAATGAAAATAAAACTTTCTATTTGTATTGCGGTGCTAATATAGTTTACATTTCGAATTGAAATAGTCTGATTGATTATAAAGTTTTGATGTTTGAACCGAAGAAAATGTTTTTTGTTCTCTCTCGGCAGTGTGTTTCTTTTTCTTGTTATATTTTCTTAACAGTTTTATTTTCTGAAATAATACGAGAGAAAATAGAAATTCTTAAATATGTAGAAGTGTGCAACGTGGGCTGATCGGATATGAGAACGTTGAATAAAAGAGGAACGATGACTGTGCTTTGAAGAACTACTTTGTTGATCAGTTTCGATGAAGAACAAGATTGAGCCGTAACGTATCGAAAATAAACGATGTTCTAAGTAGGATTTTAACAAGGAGTAGTAACTAGTTGGTAAGGTGAGTTTTAACCTGAACGGTAATCTTGCATGGACACGATCGAATGCCTAGGGAACCTAACCTTCCAAGGAGAAATATGTTTTATTAACTATACGATAAATTCTGTGAATTGTAGTGTTTGTTATGAAAACTAAATTGCAAGTCAATTAGAAGTTTTGGTTCTCCAATAGTTTTACTGAGTCTAACATTTATTCGAATACTTTTGATAGTATCGGAAGTAGACTTATAGGATTGTATGATGATGATATGTCTGGTAGTTTTTTTTAACATCAACAAGCGATAAGTGTTTACGAGTAGGAAGAAGGAACATTTGCAATGACGAATCAACAAAATTTGTGAACTACGTTGATTTTTGCCGGTAGGAGAATAGTATTATATATTATGTTATTGGATTGTATCTGCGAGATTATATGCGAATATGTTGCCTTTGTCCACTTTTGAGTATACCAAATTTGCATTAGTATCATGTAAGATAGCTACAGAATTGCGTATGCGAAGAAGTTGTTTTGTTGCCTTCCAAAGAAAACCGTATTTGGCCGTAAGTTACTTTAAATGTAAGATTTATTCCTATGATTGCTAGGATACATTTGAGGTTTTGCGCGAGTGCATTATAATGATATTTATCAACCGTGTATTTGGTTTTTGCTATAGAAAGTGAGCACGACGTTTTTGTGCTATAAGGATACAGATGTATAAAGGAAGGACTGTGGTGGATGTATGTGAGCTTTAAGCGAGGATCTTTATGATTGAAAAGTAGTGTATTAGGAATTGTTACAAATTCGTCTAATATATTCAATTTTTTTCTGTGAGATGTTGGCCAATATTTAGGATCGGAAATTGAAATGCCTCATAAGTTTTTTTTTTATGTGGTATTATTTTTAGAAATTAGTTTCTTCTGAGACTTTTGGTTCGGCATTACCATCGGATATGTTTATCGTTTTTATTACCGTCAATAATGAAACTATGACCAGGTATTCAAAAAAAGAGATTAAATTGGTTTAAATTGGTATGGTGGACAATATTTAGCTTTTATTGAGACGGACATACTATTGATTATTATAGATGCCGTGCGAGATTGGGTGCAGTCTGTTTGCAAATTAATAAGTTTCTGTGATGCAAATGATGATCTGACAATTTTATAGCAAAACCTACGTGCAAAATGCCATCCGTATGGTTAGTTTGGTAGGAACAAAAGCTTGATAGATTTTCATAACAGTAGTTACTTTTAGCCAATAGACGCTTAAGATGAATATTAACAATTTCGACAACTTTTTATAGTTATATAAAGTTTCACATTTAACCATACATTTTTGTTTTGCATCAATTTTAAAACGATGTGTAAATTGTTCATTGCATTGATTCATTGATATTGATAAAAACTGGTTTGTTTTCGAAAATAATAAATAAATAAAAAAATTAATTTTCAACCGTTATACGTATCTAACATCTCGACGGTATATGGTAAGCACATGTATACATATATTACAATATGAACATAGATAGCTCAGTATACATAATATGATGTACACTTGTCTCGTTATTTTCGGCACAAAATAAATCTAATATCATAAAAAAACATATTGCTGGTATGAGACATTTACGAAATGTATGGAAAGAATACCGTTTGATTGTTTAAGAACCAACTAATGTTGACAGCCGGATAGCTTTCACGTGCGATGCAACTGACGTTAATTAGATCACCTGCTGAGTACTTCATCTTGTTCGACTGCAACACGGGTGGGGACGACGGTTCATCTGCAATAGTGATAAATGATTAAACAAATATTAATACAGAATATTTATATGTACAATAATAATACAATATGTATGAGGTGGTGTAATGCACAATATTTGCGTGCGTACGAACAGATGTGCACAAAGTAATATACGTTTGAGCATGAGTTATTAATTATTAATTATGACTACTATTAGTTATAATGCATAATTATACATAACGTTTAATATATAATATATGCGTATAAACATGAGACAGGTGATGACTGTTTTGGAATAATTATATACATTCGTTTTATACCTTGTACATGATATACACGTGTACTGGAACCGTGCAACACTTCAAAGTGTACTCTTCGTTTGAAACCAAAATGATTATCGATTTTCGAAATAGTCACTGGCTCACACAGTTTTTGTTTGAATACTTCTACAGGCGAATAGGTTCGGTAGTAGTAGTAGGTTCGAGTAGTAGTCGGAATCTAAAATAGTTTACGTTGCGTTCGTGTGTGCAACAAACAAGAAAAAATATGGATGTATACAGTTAAATCCGAAAATCAAACGCGTTTGCACAATTATTACTATATCGTGATCGATGGCTAAGTAGGGTGGTTTTAAACTACCGTCAGTCGTTAGAAAATCACACAGTTATGATCGGGAAAAAATGTTTCCGTTTTATATATTGAAATTAGAACTTGGATTTGGATATTTTTTCAAGCATTGATCATGTGTATTAATGAAGAACATTTAATTTTCTAGTTTCTAGTATTAATTAAATAATTAATTTTCAATTATAATGTAATAATAAATTTTGATTTAACGTTACATAATGTGTATTACAATATTCCAGTTTTTTTTTAGTTATTTTTTGTTTAAGCAGTTTTTATAAAATATAATCGAAAAATGACTTTATTTATAATAAGTACCAAATAAATTTTCAAACGAGTGATTATTCAACTATTTAGTTCTTTTGGGGCAATTTTTACGAACAAATATTGATATATAATATATATTGTTTATATTACTATATTATACTTTCAAAAAATACAAAGTTGAAAATGAAAAACTGATATTAAAAACTATAATTATATTTATAAAATCATCTACCAAGTTTTTATTTATTTTTTATTTGATAAATCATGTTAAATAAAACAAACATTGTGCATTATGAAATTTGAAGAAATTAATTTTGGTTTTAAGCCTTTCAAAAAACCCATGGTGTATAATACATTTTTGTGGAATGATTTAAATTATTTTTATTTTTTATCTGATATATTTTAGCATTCGGTAAAAAACTTGCATATCACCGGAATTTGAAATTCATATTATAGCGCTGCGATAGAATCTATTTTTCCTGTTTTGGGGAGACGCTAGAAAAATGATTCAATCCATTAACCGATTTAGCACGGCTTTTTGGAGCTTATCTCAATACGTTTCATTAATCATGTCACTGCTATGTTTTACTGACCCAGTTTTTTTTTTTTTATATTTATTTTTCAAGAATGTAAAAGTTGAACAAAATTACACTGAACACGTCTAGTACATGTTTGAGCGTACATCAGGAAGGTCGGGAAAAAACATTTAGTATACATTTCTCGGAGGAGAATATTCGATGTATTATGCTATAGATTTTTATGAAATTCTAGGAAACTTGACGGGCACTTACAAAAGGGCCGAAATATTTTCATGCGTACACAAACGGCTACACAGCAAGTTTGAATATCTTTGACAGTAATGCGTTCCCAGAAGCACATATCTGAGAGTGTGCAGATGGGTTTTCTCATCAGAACTTGTATTTTTGAATTAATATTCATACATTATTCATAATACCTATGTATACATGCAAACGAAGTTGGCTCTGAGATCACAATAGCCAAAAAACCGTTCGGCCGCCCGAGTCCACGGGCACACGGAGTATAATATATATTATTGTGTTATGCATACACGATGGATATCGATAGCGGATTTCCATTTCCATTCATTTTGTACCGCACTCCAATACTCGGAAACAAACTGTAAATGTATTTGAGTTTTGTTAGCTACCCCGGACTCTGTCTTATCTATTCAAGAATCCAACAGTACGACCGTGTACGTCATTATACAAGCATGTCCGTTAAGAATTTGTTCGGAAAATAATTTCTTCGTATTTACGATTAAGCTATACAACTATTTAGTTGGTCGATAACACAGTGAATTTCATTAAAATAATGTTTCGTTATATGATCACGGGAGAATATCAATGTTAACAAAAAAAAATTGTTAAGAAAAATGTATTTTATACGACAATCATTTTCTTTGCTCATAAATGTAATATAAGTATGTCAAAATCTCAAATCATTAAATTCTTATGCGATGTGTTACAAGTATACTGTTTTTGATTAATTTTGTTCGTTATGTTTGTAATAATATACGTTTAGTATACACAAACATCAGCTTATACAATTTCGTGCGGAGAAAAAAATTAAACGAATACAGTTTTCTGCTAATCAGGTTACTTTTTTGAATTAATGGTCAAATGATTTCATTAAAATAATATTATATTGACGTTTTTGTAGACCTTTAACGTTTTTAATATGCGTAAATTATAGTTCCTAATTGATTTGAAACGAATGCACTGTCGCCGAGAATTAAGTACAGTATAGTGCTGAACGAAAATACCCATCGACGGATTGATGTGAAACTTCTCGTATCCGTAGTAAATTTAGTTATGTTAAGGTTTTAGGCGTGTACTTTATGTACTATAGGCGTATTAGATGATGTAAAAGGCATATCGGCGAAAATTGTAACGAACCATTTCGGTTAAAATACGTTCTCTGGTTTCCCGTCGGAATTTCGTCCTAAATTTTATCCGACCATATATGTTTTCGGTCAGTTCGGGTCCGGGTAATGGCATACTTTATTTTTATTTTTTTATCGAACTCCCTTTAATCGAGCCGAGAAAGAGAGAGAGTGATAGAGTCAAGACACAACGTAAAATGATTGATGGAATTCGTTTGCTCTGGACAGCGCCGGGGACGGTTGACTCGCGTGTTTAATCCCGTTCTCACGAATTATCAGTTTAGGAGGTTACATCGACGTGTTTAGACGCCCAACGACGCCTAGCGAATTCAAATTGGGACTAAATATAATAATAATAATAATGACAATAATAATAATATTGTATAGTTGTAAACGGTTCTTGCAGACCAATTCCGAAGGGACGGAGGGGACAATAGAGACATTTCTACCGCCACCAACGCCGTCATTACGACTATTATTATTACCCGGTTGGAAATACGAGTGTAAAGTGATGACGACAACAGCAGTAATAGTAGTAAATACGTTCGTACACATTTGTATATAAACGTAATACAATTGTAATATTACGTCCCAGTTTTGAGTTTTATGTGCTCAAACGCTATATGCAATGCGTACAAATAGAACAGTGTGCCGTGTAGACGAACGACGATGTAATAATTAAACATTTTGCAGCGGTGCGTATAGTGGACGCGTACAGTATTTAATAACAACGGGAATTCCCTTCATGTGATTATAATAGTTGTACGATTTTAATGGTAATAGAATAATAATATATTAATTTATTCGTGCACGATTATCAAACGTGATACGTACAAGACGGGTTGAGGAATGGACACGCTCGCATACAGGGTCGTCTACACTACCGGGGGGGAAAGGGAAGATTTTAAACGCCCCTTACGGAAGAAGAAATAATGTACTTATGTCATTTTATTACTCAGAATTATCTAAATTTAATGTCTTTCGTGTCTAAAAATTGAAAATATTGTCTTAAAATCAACGTCCGTAAGATGACTCCGTTATTTGTATACGTATACGCATTGTTGAAATAGAACGCTAATATTGCGCATATGCCTAGGCGCAAATAGGGTGAAGGGCTGACGCAAGGCTTAGCCCCCTAGATTGTTTATAGCTTCTCCAAGAATAATAAAATCTGCATAGTATATTGCACGTTTGTGAGCTTCAGGCTTTTTCTTCCCCTCAAATCTTAAACATTATTTGAGCTTAAATACACTTGATTCTTTCAATCTGAGTTATGGTCATTGGACCACTTGATCACTTGATCCCGTTAACTCGTTAACGACAGACTATGTTTTTTCCCGTTAAATTAAAAAAAATCCTACTTTTAGATTCTTAAGGGCATATTAAAATTTACACTCTTTTTTTCTATAAAAAAAAAATTTCAATTTTTTTTTACTTCTGTGAAATGTATTCCAAATATTCTTGTTTTTCTGAAAGATCCTACTTATTTTTATAAATAATATATACATATTTATGCAATTATAATACTAGTACACGCATACATTTACATCCGACCGAACGTGTGGTGTATACGTTATTATTTTATCACTTACCAGTGACATATGTAAGTTTTGTCTTGATACCGGTGTGGAACAGCGGGGCATCCGCAGACACTTCACATTTATAATATCCAGTCAAATCTCTTCGGACGTTCACAATGGTTACCATGTTCTCGTCGGATTCTTGAACCTGCGTAGAAGGAAAAAAAAATTTTAACTCGACACACATTCCGTCGAACTACGTGAATAATATTTATTTGAATACCATAACTATACAAAATTCTGAGCCAAGTTATAAGACGAAGTATATTTTTTTCACTCTTGACCTACCTACATGTAAATTAATCCTTTCGTACACTTCAATCGATTCAAAACTGTACGTACGTATTACTTTTTAAATGTTCGAAGTGATATTTTACCGTCTGTGATCATAATAAATACCGGTTGAATAGACGTGGTTTAAAAGTGTTGCGCGAATTCATATCAATATCTTAACCATTGCACATGGTTTTATTATTCGTCTTGAAACCCGCCAGCTTTCATATTTTATACAATAAAATAACAGCATGTGTTTGTATGCTATTTTAAACCTAGATTCGGAAAGATGCAACGAATAGACAATTATGTATAAATATCACGGGGTGCATAATTCTGGGTACATATTTTAGAAACTTAATGCCATCACAATAATTATTAAGTAGGATAAGTAACTAATTATTCGTTATTACAATAGTTATTTTGTACTCTAGAAGCAAATAATTACAGCGATGTGACGATGTTGAAATTTTCAATGGACTACTGCACACGGTGATCATAATTATTGTTCCGAACAACAGTGTGCTTGGAGTACAGTTAGTTAAACGAGTTTGAATGTAATTAGAAGTGTTTAATCTAGTATTGAACAATATGTATTTTGCGTTTGATGGTTCTTCGCCTCATATACCTGAAAGATGTTTTTTAAAATACACGGTGAATTTCGATTGATTGATCATAACGAATAAATATTTTTATATTTGGAAAATAATTACGTTCATAGTACCATAATTATTTAAATTAATTTTAATAATATAAAAATAAATTTAAATTTAAATATTCATATCAATTAATATTTATACGCGGAAAAAAAATACTAAAATTGTTTATATTGTCAAAATAGTGCTGGTGTTTTATTTATTTAGTTTTATACTATACATTTTATCTAATCATAATTAAAATGTATAATATTTATCTAGTGATATATTTGAAATTAATATACGCAAATCGTATGTTAAAAAAATGTTTATTGAATAAATCACGCCTCATACATGTTTATTATTTACACTGAATAACTATAATATCAGCGGAGTAATAAATATTTACAATGAATACAATTTTATTTTTAGCAATTTACGTTGATTTCATATTGTTGCTCAAAAATGTTTGATTAAATAAATTCAACATTTTGTATCATTATAAATTATTTATCCTTTAAAGCAATGTTTGAATATATTAATAAATTAGTCTATCAAAAACGCTTTGAAGAATATTTATCGCTGGTGAGTAAACAACTTATTTTAAACATAGTTTTAAGATTCGTCTTATAAAACATTATATTATTTTTGGTTTTGTGAAAACGAATTTTACCGACAGGTGGTGCACATAAATGTTTTATACATAGTAAATCGGTTTATATGACGCATTGGAATTCGATAGTAAGTTAAGCTTATTACAATTTCAGAAATAATTTGAACAAAGTGGACGTATTTAATCACTTTTACATTTCATTAAATATAATCGGTTGTTTTATCTGTATAAATATAAAATGTTGATACAATTCCAGTCCAGGGTTATAATTATATATACTTATAGGTTATGAATAAGTTATCAATCATTAGAGTTAGATTATATTATATAGTTAAATAATAATATTATAATAAGATTTTTTTTATTTGTTATTATAGGGTCATTCTATAAGCTATATAGGTTTATAAATTAATTTGAAACGAATAATGTATACAACACTTAATTTCTCACTGCTGAGTTTCCATCGTTAAAATGTTTACATTAAGTGACTTTTACTCATTATATATTGGCCAAGTACTTTGTTTTAATTAAAATTTGTTGAAGGACTCATAGCAAACATACTCAAAAGTTGAAACACAAACAAACACGAATCCCTGGAATACATCCAGTGTATCCAATATAACACCAATGTTACTGTTAAGTAAAATTGATAGAAAAAAAAAATAGAACAATCCCTGTATCTATATGATTACATTGTATTATATTCAAAGACGCTATCGGATCGAAATTTTAGCGGATCACATAAATCTAGTGAAAATCATGTATATTAATATTTTTTCGGGCTTTTCCCCGTAAGCATTTTAAACGTTTGCAAACAGAAATTAATATAATTTGACAAACTCTAAGATATGCGTGTGCGAGAAAGATTTATAGTTAAATCGTAAACCGGGAGTGGGGTAGAGCTGTTCAAGCTACCCGTCACCCTATACGCACGGCTGCGTCATTGGAGATATCGCAAGTAATTAATCTTACAGCCAACCACTATTGACTAATTCCGCCGCGAAACATAGCGATCGTATAGGTCCGTAAATAACGCATTGTTTATACTTTTTGGGCGATTCGTTTTGTGTCTTAGAAATAATTCCTCGGAGAACGTTGTTTGTTTTTTATGTGAAGTTTTAATGCCATTCGAAAGTCTATTTAAGTTATTATTAACTTTTTGCAAAGTTTTTACTTATTAGCTCGAGTGCATAATATATATATATATATATATATATATGTTTGGTGTATTCAATTCTAGTGCGTATACTAATGACATTTATTTCATAATAAATTCGTGTTATTAACTTCATAGTTGTATCAAATAAACGAATTTAAATATTAAACTGAATTACTAAATTACTATTATGTTTATGTTTTTATGTCGTTACGTAAACGAAACCGTGTTTATATGTGTATATAATAATATAATGTATTTAAATAATACAAATTATAGTGGAAAACCCATTCTCACAATAACCCACAGTTTTTTTTTTAGGAAGAGTTTAAGTATTTAAATTGTTTAATGGAAAATTTAGTCTTCATATACATAGAGAGAGCGAAAGTATTATATAGGTTTATAAAAAAAACTAAGTGGTCAATAAAGCTTTGATTGAACGTATTTATACAATAATTTTTTTTTGTTTCCCGTTAGTTAGGACTGCTTATGCAAATTATATGGACATTTAAACAACGTTAGCGTACCATAAACCCTGAATACATCTGTTAATTCTTAATGAAAAATAACAAACTAACTACTAGTAAACCAGTCTTTCATTTTATCATTAAATAACATTGGTCTACTATAATTATTTCGTGGCAGTTATAGAAAAATATTTAAAAAATTCGAAATGAACTATAAAATTAAATATAATTTTTAATTTTCTCGGTAAACAATTATAGTGGCGTATAATCATATTAGAAAATGAAATATATTAATGAAAAGAATTTTTTTGAATATAGCCTTATTATTATGACATTATTGGCCGAGTTTTATTTGATTTGCAGTAAAAATTTATTTATTTGGTCTCTTTCAGGTATCGAAATAATTACTAATAATTTAATATTGTGTTTACAATATATTCGTACCAATTCTTTATTTGATCATTATTGAAAGAACTCGATATTATTGATGTTTATTTCATGTTGTTCTGGGGTTATTATAATTTTTCAAATTTAAATAACATTTCTTTAGAAACAACAATAACGCAGCTAGAGTTGAGTAAAATAAGGTTTTCAATGTGTTCAATAGCTGCAGTTCACAATTTCATCTATAGTTAATTTTAAATCAAACAGAAAATGTTTTCAAAAACAAAATATGAATCAATACAAGTGCAAAAAAAAAAAAAAAATCTAATAAAGAGTTCAATCGACAAAAATTGAATGAAATATAAAAACTGCCTCTATTCATTGTTCACAGTCCAATATAACGTGGTTTTATATACATTTTTACTCAATTTGATGTATAGAAGTTGTTGAACACTATAGAACATAATCCCTTCCCTTTGTATTTTATTAGATCACACATTTATCAATAGTATTCTCTTCCATTTTCTTTTGTCGTTTTTATCAATGATTATAGCAGAGGACTACAAGTGAAGGCGAGCCGTCCTATGTTCGAATGAAATTAATGCCTGGTACAGAAATCAGAAGTTCACGATAGTAATAATAGTGAATGTATATAACGTTTATTCGATATTTTTACTGTAGCGCGATGCAAAGTTTATACATTTTATCCTGCACTATATCTTTCAAATAATGCAGTACGTAATCATTTTAATATATATGAGAGTATGTATTGTTGCAATATCAACTGAGGCAATATTGTAGTTTAATGTTTTTATTAAAATGTTAAGTACGCGAAATGTTATAATACATGTTTTAACGGTATATACGTGTACATTGCTATAATACAACGAAACGTATAAAAGTATGACGAAAAAGTGTTTCCTGCATTTTATTCATATTTAATACGCGTTTTTAATTATTCGAGCATCGATTGATAGTTGCAATCACAATGCAATCAAATTATTATAAACTTATTTTGAACTTGTCTTAAATAGGATCGTCTTACGAATAACACTTCGAAAAACCGTTGCATTTTATGAAACAAATATTTTTATCTCATTACGAAACTCAAAATTAAAAATCAACCGAATTAATTAATAATTTAAATAACTATTGTTTTGGTAACAAATAAATTTGGTCGTCCTATTGCTTGATAAGGTATAAATACGTCATATTAAATGTTATTAATAGGTTTTCGGTTCAAGTAGTCATGTTCATTTCAATTCATTTCATAATACATTCGAAATTGTTGAGTTACAGTAGAAGACCAATTCTTCTATAACAAGTATCTTTAAATATTCGAAAACTTAAGGAAAATATCACGTGAATCTTGAATATTTTCATTATGGAGTTCAGTACACAATAATTTTATGCCGTCGTACCAATACAAAAATTGGTCAAGGCACCTCATTCGTACAAAATACGCATAACCTCAGTGTGCGATGGAAATAGTTTAATTAACCTTGTTAATAAATGTTGTAAATTATTGTTGCAAATTATGATAAAATTTTATATTTTTACGACCTAATATAATATTAAATTAAAATCAATACATTAAAACTTTTTATATAAATTTAGAAAAATTCACTATATTTCGAACAAATATTGTATTCAACCAAGATTGTTTTCTATATAAATCGATGTTTCATGTCTTTGAAGTTTAAACACGATATACATTTTTTTTTTTCAAAATGCGTATTATGGTTATATTATGATATTATTTTATTATACTTAGATAATTTTTTTTTTCAAAATGCATATTATTGTCATATCAACGTTATGAACCCATTTTACAGCATACACATCTATGAAAATTGTTTAAGAAAAAATGAATTATGTTTTATAATTGTATTATATTTAGATATCCACAAACATTAAACTTGTACATCTTTGCTGGGATTAAAATTTTGAACTGAAATCTTATAATATAAAAATATAGGTAGGTAGTTAAAAATAATTGAAGGTGATAATGTATTATCACCGTTTGAATTTATGAGGACAACCATGACTTTGAATTACAATGGAGTAATTTCATAGTTTAATTTTCACAAATTGTTAGTATACGTGTCTTAGGTATTAGTACATACACGTCCGGGGCATTTACACTTGGCATTAGTTCAATAATAAATGTAAAACATTTAAACGGTATTATGATATAGAAGTTATTATGAATGGTGCATGGACATATATATAAAATTAAAACTAAGCCTCAAATTTGCTCACCATTATATAAAATCAGAAGGAAAATGTTCCCCGGCTAGTGGGTTCAATTGATTACCTACTTTATTCATTAATAAAATATGGCCAACTAACGGAATGAATAAACGAGATCACTGTCAAAACTGAAACTAAAGACAACTAAGCTTTTTACAGTAATAAAAAAAAATATATAGTAATTATTCACTTGATTTTAAATTATGGTGGTTGTTGTTTTAGGAAATTCATTTTCATGATATTTAAACGTAAAATAAGTATGAACATTAAATTAAAATGTGAGTATAAAGCATTTAGATATATGAAAATCGACTAGATCTGGTATAGATAACAATTTCGAATTGATTTTTAATCAAACATCAATAGTTATTATAACTATACATTATACGAAGACATGACTCCCATAAAGTGTTTCCTACGTGAAGACTACAACTTTCAATATTTTAATGAATAACTTTCTTACGTATAATTATTATGGTGAATTATTCAACCCAAAGTACACTATAGTTATTTTCAATCTACCGGGTTTTGAAAACGATCATGTTATTTTTTCTTTTGGCATCATTTTATAGGCTATTCTATAGGGTTGAAATGGTATCAATGTTAACTCACATCAACTACGATTCCGGGCATCGGGAACACTCGGGTTGGAGGCGATTCTTTTGGCACGTACCGGTAGAACTCCTGATCCCTCAGATACCATTTGATCGAATATAGCGCTGTGTTCTCCAAATCGTACGTACAGTTCATTCGCAGCGTCGATCCAGACCGTACAGCCACCGGGACGTTGATTTTCAAATCTCTCAAGCCGACGCATTCTGAAAAACAGTAAAAAATAAAAATAAAAAAATAACAATAAGTCGACGACGCGTGTCACGATATCGTACCAGACAGATCATACGCGCTACGCGCCCACGGACGAGTGTCACGTATCCCATTAAACGTACTCGAAATCGGAATAAAATAGATCAGTTTGTATCATTATTATTATAATTAGGGCTTGGATGTTTATGCAATTGCATGTTTTTAAGTTTATCCAATTTAATACTGACCTGGACACAAATTTGATTCATGATCTACGGAATCAAATGATTTTAATTTTATTTTGCATATTTTTGCATATTTAATAGTTTTTAATTTTAAATGCATATTTTGGAGTTTAATGAAAATAAATGCATATTTCAATGCAACTATATAGCAATATACTATATAATATATACTTTATACAATATATTATATAGCAACTATACAGTTTATCAGTATTATTTCATATTATTTATTATTTTTTTATTTTTTTTTCAGTATTATTTCATCAGTATCATTTTATTAATTACCTATCAGTTGATTAAATCAAGTGAATTTGTTAATAGTGCCTAAAGAAACCCTCAAGATGAATAATGAAAAAGTTGGAAAAAAATGTACGAACAATTTTAGAACGCAATTCCAAAAAATGTTAGAGTTAAAACTTTTATACAGATTTTACAGATTTTCAAAATACATTCCATGGAAGTAAATATTACGAAAGAAATAGAAAAAGATTTAAAGCTTGAAGATCTTTCAATCTTCAAATATGGCTCCAATGACATCAGTAGATGTAGAATGAAGTTTTTCAGGCACTATAAAAATTAACTTTCAGATAACAGTCACAGCTATAATTTTGAACAAATTAAAAAATTCATTTCGTTACAGTGTAACGCTAGCAATTTAATACAAAAAAGTAAAATATTAAATATTAAAATATGTATATATATATATATAAAAAAAAAAAATTATACAATAAAATTTTTATAATGACTTATAATAAACAAAAATAACTAATAATAAAAATTGAGCACATTTTAGTGTTTGTTTTTTTTTTTTTGCTAAAAATTCATATTTTGATTGCATAACTAGGAATTTTTTAGTACATAAATGCATAAATATTGCAGTGATTTTAATTGCATAAACATCCGAGCCCTAGTTTATAACTAAATCAAATTCTGTGTGACTGTGAATACTGAATTGGGCTTTTTGTCGGGTCCATACTTAGTGAAAAATCAAATACGTAAAACACAAGTATAACTTTCAAAACACAGACTAGTGTTAAAAAAGAACTTCATAAAATTCGATTCTAAGTGAATCTGACATTAGATTAAATTTTGAGCCTGAATTAAAGAAAAGAATTGAGTCGCCTCCCTTCCTAGAAGTAAGTCTAAATATTTCCCTGATTAGAAATTGTAGTATTGCGCGGGTCGGACGAGTACTAATATTCGCGTGATTAATGTCCGTGGAGATGCCGTTAATAGTTAGGAAATGTATAGTTTGCGAACATTTTACCGCACGACTTAAATGTTAGTTCTGTAAGAAAGTCAGTCGGTGTAATCGAACATTTGTTTACTATACATTCTTTTAATTTTTTTTAAAATACTCGACAACGCGAAAGAAGTTCAAGTCTTACCGATTACGGTTGGTTTACAAACAGTTAAATGAAATAATTTATGTGTTTTATTATGTATTCTTTTTTCCCTTAGTTTTTCGTCAACTGGTGATGATATTATGATTTATATCTTGCGACTTTCGATTTTTGTTTCGTTTTGAAAATCGACGATTTCACATCATTGATCTCATTAAGATAATGATTTTGAATGACCGCAGCTTGTTATGGGTTGTTACCCATTTGCGCCAAAAAAAATTAGATTCGTTTTGGATCCAGCCCATTTGCGCCAAAATAAAATAAGTATGTTTTTTCAGACAGCCCATTTGCGCCAAATTTACCTGGTATAATTATAATAAAGTAATATATTTTTTTTTCTCGAATAATAATCAATTAAATATCCATATACAATATTTTTCGAAGATGTATACGCCAAAATATACTTATGGCTATTTTCAACAACCATTTTCTTCCCTCTTGTACTTTTTGCGAACTCCATTCTTACTATTTATAATTCAAATAATTAATAAATTCGAGAATATTATTTAGTGTAACGTAACGAATGTCTGATGAAATCACACTGCGATCGTTCTTTGTTGAATAACGATACCTATATATTCGACAACGGAGTACGATAATATCGTATATCATAATAAAACTCATACAAAACTTGTTAGTTTATCTTTCGACGCAATAATATACAAAGCTTTAAAATCTGTAGACTTATAAAAATAACTTTCCTATACGTTATAGATACGACGTCTTTAAAATATAAGAATTAACCAAGTCGTTAATTTAAAATGTTTACATAGGTAAATTTGACGCAAATCAGCTGTCTGAAAAAACATACCTTTTTTATTTTGGCGCAAATGGGCTGTACCCAAAACGAATTCATTTTTGATTTGAATGGGCGATGTCCCTCGTTATGAATACGAGTCTGCCTGTTGATTGCTATAAGGCGATCATTATTTTTTGAGAATTATTTAAATATGAAAACACAATAATAAAAATATTTAATTCATTATTAAAAAAAAAAAAAAAAACAGTACAGTGTTATTTCGTGATTCAGATAATGTTTGTTCTTTGGAAGAAAATATATTTAAATATATTTTTAAATTTTTTTTGGAAATTGATGTATTACACATCAATACGCCCCTATTTTGAAATCATCTATATTTTAGTATTAAGTAATTGATATTTGAATCGTTTAAATTATTAACGAAAAAAAACGATTTAAAAAAAATCAAAAATGAACATCTTAAACATTATTGTTATGATCAGGTTGCTTATAACACTAACTTCCATTGTTTTCCATAGGAAAACAAAATAATATTAACTTCGGGCGATCAATTAAACACATGTAGCACCTTCAAATTATTACGCGTTTACGTTAATGTAGATTGTAGAACAACGCGAATGTGTATTTAACACGACAACGTAGCACGCTGGGAAAGCCTTTATATGGGGATGCCTATTGTTTCGGTTGCAAGGGAGTCGAAGTGATTTATAGTCTCGGGATTTATCGTCTGGGGTTTTTCGCTTCATTTTTCCAGGTGTACGTTTTTAATTTTATGAACGACGCCGTAGTACTAGTGTTATTATTCCATCAGCAGCGTGGTTTATTTCCACTGCGTTTGACAACCGTGCAGAAATATATCGGCTTTCGCGAGAGACCAAGTTTTTCGTTTATTCGAATCAGCCACACACATGCACGTGCGTGTACGTGTGTGTGCATGCGTACTAGCGGAGAACGGTTTTGTTTTTGTTTTTATTTTTTTTAAATTTTATTTCTATAGCTCAGCACTATGTCCGCATGTCCTTGGCACCACCGAATGAATTATTAATGCGCAAACACGATAAATCGTCGGGTTACAAATAATAATAACGATAACGCACTGCGAGTCGGTAGTGTTATAATTATCATAATAGAACTCTCGACATCACTGGCGATGGTCCCAGGTTAGGAAAACATAAATACCGTAGCAAGACCTATTTAGATGTACTTGACTACAGTTGTAGTAGTAATACGACCACGTCCACGTGCCACCATGTACCGGGTAACTGGTGTCAGATGCGTGACAGAAAATTGTCGTCGTTTTGCCACTCGTGTATGACGTCACTGACGAGTAACAGTTATAATAACAACACCGAAAAAAAAAACGACTCATGGCGAGCAACCGGCGTGGAAGGATTTGTTTTTCGTTTTTTTATTTTTTATTTTTACGATTCCGCAAAAGTATTTCCGAACGAAACGATATTGTTTCCGATAAATATCTGTGAACTCAAGCTCGTAACAGCACACGAATTCTTATTTATAACCGTGTGTGCGGGTACAGGCGTTTAATATAATATCTGATCCCCGCAACGTCACTGTATATAAATATATATATACATATACGTCTGTATCGGTTTTTATTTTCGTCTCGTAAAGATCGCGAATAGCAAATAAAACGACTATCGACGGTTATTTCCGTTTCAAAATGGGTTTATTCGGCAAGTGGTGTGCGAGGTTACCACTCTACGCTCGAATTTCATACTACGAATCGTGTGTAATACGTGTAATGTATCGAGCGAGACGGCTTTTGCGACGGTTTCACTTTTGCACGTGTTCGAACGACCCGCTGGTGTAACACGTACCACGCGTGTGTAACGCACGGTCAAAGGTATATTTAACGGAAATAACTCAACAAGACAATTTTTTTTTTTTGGTTGAATAACGAAATGTTCATTTGATGTCACTACGCCATTCCGAATTGATAAAAAAAAAAAAAAAACATTTACAGTACGTGGCTATTCTAAAAACCAATATAAAGTTATGGCATTTGAATATGATAGTGTGCCAGTCAACTTAACGTTGACGCGTAATGGAACGGTGTCAAAACATCGAGTCTCGGACCATTAAACCAATCGATTTTAACAGTACGATGCAATTCACCACAGAACAGTAATAATGAGGAATTTGCCTTGGGCGTTAATGTGATTTGGCCGTTAAATCTTGACAAATTTTTTAAGTCTAACTGGACAGTTAAGTAATGTATAAACTAATACTGAATACCTTTTATCGATCGTTAAATATTTTAAATGTAAAGAACCGTAAAACCTCTCCTCCCCACTTAATATAAAACGGAAAATATCAATAGGCCTTGTTAAAATATTTAGTAAAATTAACCTCTTGGAATCTCTACTATGCGGAAACAAAAACATTTATAATAATATAAATAATATCTATATGACCGAAAAAAAACTATTTTAATAACATATGTATTTGGAAAAAAAATATAGAATATATATTCTTTGTTATTGTCTTAAAAACAGTTTGGTGTTATCGTTTAACAGCTGTCATATTGATTAATGAGTAAAATGTAGTTTAACAAAGATTAGATAATATGTACATTTACCTAAAAC